AGCAAACAGAAACGGTTGTTCCACAAACCTCAGATCATTTGAGTAGGGACCTCGCTATGCTGAACGTTAACCAGTCTGCCCGTAGACCTCACAAACACCACGGGTTCAGAAGCAGGTGTGAATGCTCTGCAGATACCTGGTCTTATCATGTCTATGAGAATATTTACGAGCCTGAAAAACTCCGCCCAGATGAATCGGCTTTACGTACAATGAAGGCGTCGATTAGGACATATCTTAGAAGAATGTCAGAGGCCAGCATACGTAAACCAACCATTCCAGCTATCATAAGAATATTAGATGGCACCATGGGCCCAGTGGGTCGCAGGTTGTTTGTCCGCAGTGCTACGGAACTGTTGAATGAAATCGACGAGAAAGAACCAGAAAAATGGATACCTACCACGAGGCAGAGGTGGGAATTTAGGGTAAGTGTTAACTATAAACTCCCGCGTGTTACAATATATTTTACATGCCATTGATCGTGCTAGAAACCGTTTAGAGAGAAATTAAGTCTTTATTTTGTATGATATGGCAGCAATGGTAAAATCGTTATCTTTGCCTCCAATTTGGCTAGCAAATATCTTAGGATTAAATATTTATTTTGTTTAGGATATCGGGAGATAACGGCAATTTGACTCGGGTTGATTGAATTATTGGTGATGTCGGTCATATAAAATTCACCCGAGTACATTTAGAATTATCCTCCGATGTCTCGTGATTTCTAATTCTAGAACCGCCCTGAAGTTTCTTGCCAATTACAGTTAGCTGATACAGCACCAAAATCTACAAACAGACAGCGAAACTCCACGACTGAAACAACAAAGAAAAAGACCAAGCGCCGACATCCGTCCAAGGTTTCAAAGAATAAAGAAAGGAGGGAAACGTCAAGAACAAATGCTGATTCAACTGGGGAAAGCGCAGACGATCCAACCGGAAATTGTCAGTCAAATTCAAACCGAGTTCACATCAAAACTGACGTTAAACGGAAAATGGGAATAGAACGTGAGAGCCAGGATCGTGTTAAACTGTCAGACAGAAGCTCAGAAAAGAAAAGTACCATTCCCGCGTGCGAAGAAGAAATAGAAAAAAGGGAATGCGAATTTAATGAAAAGACACAATTCTCCGAAAACGAGCATTTTGTGGAAGTGAGCAAAATGCGCACATCAGGAAAGAGTGAAAAACTTACGAATTCAAACCGAAACCAGAAAAATTTAAAAGTGAGATCATGTCAAAAAACCACTCGGGGTGATACGACGTGTAGAATTGCATCAACGAATGAGCAAACGTGTGTTAGTGAATGTGAAAATGGCCAAATTAATGTACAGCCTTCTGCGTCTTCGAAAGAAATGAAGTGTTCTCCAGAAAACTGTGTGACATTAAAAGATGAAACTGAAACAAATGTACAAGACGTGCCCACCAGCCTATTATCACCTTATCCTGGAAATCAACGACGTCTTGATGGCCCCAATAAATACGAATCATCTACCAATGACGCAGATTCCAGCTCAAGTGACTGTAATGATGAGCCAAAAAGGAAATCGAAAGTTCGTTGGAGGAAAAGGAGGTCTGATACTATTCAGAGAAAAGAAACTTTGGTTGAGACAGGACCAGGGTCTGGTGGTCTTGGCAACAACAGTTGTTATCTTAGCAATGAATCGAAACAAATTCTCGAGAAAATGAAACATGATGACACGCCGAAAAACCTGGAATCTGATGATGAATCCTCTTGTACAGAGAATGGCGTTTGTGAGCCTGTAAGTGAATGCTGTGATGCAAAGACGTCACGCAATGTGGACAAGAGGCAGGAAGTCTGTGGTGATAAGGACCAAGTAAAGGGATCCGTTGTTTGGGAGTTTAGCGACGCGGAAATGTCTTGGTCGTCATCTTGCGAAATAACCGATGAGGACGAGTACGATACAGATTGCACGGATCGCCGGACTGAAAACACGACTGAAAACACGTCTTCAAGCACGGATCGCTGGACTGAAAACATGTCTTTAAGCACGGATCGCCGGACTGAAAACACGTCTTCAAGCACGGATCGCCGGACTGAAAACACGTCTTCAAGCACGTCCTTAGAGAAAAGCTGTTGTGAAACAGACATCACCGATCACATGGAAAGTAGTTCAGTCGATTATAGTGATTCATACTGGACCGGAGATGAAGAGTTCAGTTATGATACAGATGCGTCCATTTCAGGTTACCTCAATGATGATGAAGACTACGTCATGGTCAATATATCGGATACTTTTCACAGCATTAGTTGTACGTCAAACAGCTCGGAACAGTTCACCGACCCACATATAACCCAGTCAAGTCGCTGGGAGAACAGACGTGAATCAGGGTCCGCCTGCTCGTTGGAATACTCGCCACGTCAACAAGGTGACTGTACAAGTAAGAGTCCCCCGTTGTGCTGCAAAAGCGCCAAGTTTTATGGTCACAATCCTTCAGACACATATATAGATTCATTATTAAACAGGAGAACGTCGACTGATAAATCTTGTAATGGAAAACACTCACCAGGTGATAATGCATCAGATTTTGCTCTGTCGGATCATATTCTTGGTTCAGTAGACACACCACTGCGAATCAACGATAGAACTTCGGCGTCAGTTTTTGACACTAGAAACGAGTCTGCTTCTGGTGAAACTCGGGATGAGAGTCTATCGTGCGCACATAGTTCACCTGCAGAGATACAAGAACCTGGTTCACATAGTTCAAAGGATGATGAACGACCCGTCAAATTACGGTTCCAACAAGCACGGGGACTTTGTGATGTGGGTGACCACATAACGTCATTAGACGATGTCAGACGTCGTCGAGAATCGAGGCGCCAGAGGGGCATGCTTCAGTACCAATGGAATGGAATGCACACGCTTGCTTACATGTATGTGAACGCGGTAGGTCCGGTGAGGCGCCGTCAAACACAGCAGTTCCGGGCGTGGCTGGATCGGCGTCGGAGGAGATTACAAAGGAATAATTAAATTGTCAATGTTAATTCCCATATAATTTGTCTAAACCAGTGAATAAAAAAGGATAACAGTGTTTGCACTTAACTTATCATTATGTTGATAATGCGTGATTTTGCGCGATAAACTTGTACAAGCATAACCTGTCTTGTGGCGTTTAGTACACGATATATTTGCATGCTAAACTCTGTCATTTATAACAATCATAAATGTCATGACAATACAGTTCAAAGTTTGAATAAATAAAAAACATTTTATTTCATTTTTCACATCCGTGAACAATTGACATTTTCGACTTCTGAAAAGCATCAGAACCAATTTCGTTTATATGTTGTATAAATATTCCATGACCAGACGTGAATAAACACCAACTTGGCTTAAAAATGTCCTTCTGATGTTTTACCGAAATTATGAATGTCATGATTCCTGGGGTCTCACATTTCTCCCTGTCGGAGAGTAACGTTTCCTATAGTTTATACAGGCATGTTACATCTTTTAACATTAATTGTTTTATTTACTTTGAACATATTTCAAACTTGGTTAGAATCATAAGTTTAAGATGACATTTTGTTGGTGTGCACAAATACTGATTGGCCACAAGGGCTGATGGGCGGTCCAAAAGGAGCCAAACTGACTCTTATTTCCCTACGATGTTCACAAGTTACAGCTATTATCTTTGCTACACGTGTGCATTACAGTCGTCGTATAAAACTCGGGTGGCCGTTAAGACCGTCAGCCATCTTGTTTGTGGGGTTACGATAGTCTTTATGTATACAAGACTGACATCTTCACACCTACAGTACCGACGTGTGAATGATAAAACTGAATGTTACAGTGTATCCAAGTTAGTCGTTACTTACATAACCGACAGACAACGAGACACCAGGCTCTGATTTGGACGATTATTGGTAACATAAGTGTATAATTCAATAATCGGCCTGTATTGTTCTTCACGCGTCCAGTTATTGATGTACGTTTCCTTCCTACATCAGAACACTTTATCTGTTATCAGCAAGTGAAAGCTTATTCGATCATAGATTTCATGCAGAATGCTGTTCACTGGAATTTCTGCTGTGGTTACAATTTTATGATTTCATTGGGATTTTTTCTGTTGATTTAATATTTTACACGTGTGTTTCACTATGTTCGGGTTATAACAACGCAGACCTGTTATTACACAATCAGGGCCGCGCGTTTATAAATCGATCTAGCTAGATCAATATAGATTTATTGAGGTGTATGACTTCCGGGGACATGAGACCGTAAGTAGATGACTTTGTGCAGTTTTCTTCCAAATTATCCGATGAAATCCTAACTCGTGCGGAATACCACTTTGATTGATGTTATTGATATCATTAATTCCTGGAAGTAGTGATATTAACAAACACAAATTAATGATAAAAGTAGGTTATTGATATTAATTTGACATGTCTAATTTGCACTTATTTGAACTTTAATTCATCAATGCACACTGTGTAACACGGAATAGATTTATTATCGTGATCTATGCTATGTAAAGCGTTTGAGAGTATTGTGCTAATTAGATTGGGCCTCTAGTATACAGTTATCATTATCAAGAGGAAAGGGGTGTCTCGTGATGGACCATTATCATGAAATGAATCATTGATGTGATGTAATTTATCAAATAAAAAGTTGATAGCACAGCTGTAAATAAATTAAATGAAAAATAATTTATTTGAATTAATGATAATATCGCTCCAATTTAGGAATCGATTATTTACTCACTACATAATCTATAGAAAAACAATTCGCTTTAATATCCTTGATACACAATATCGTACATTTGCAATTGCTCTTATCATTGTGTGTTACATGTCTGATCACCTGTCGTTTAAAAATCAAATACAATAAAAATAAATAAATTAGACAATGTCATGACATCCGTGTTAGCGAGTGTAACTTCAGGAACGACAATTCTGTATGTGTAGATACCGTACCTTGAGTAGTCGTTCTTACTTTTATTATCGTAAACTTTTTGGCCAATCAAAGACGTCGTTGTATGGACTGTAATTGTTCGTCATGGCCAGCAGTAAAGCTGCTCAGTCGATCAATTCAAGAGAAGAACTGAACGAATTGGTCCGAAGAAGAACAGAAATAGCGGTACAGATAAGCACATTAGATCATTTGTTATTGCCTTAAATTGTTAGCATGCTGTACATTTTCATATTGGGTGAAAAATGTAAAATTTCTTCTTATTTATATCGATCAATGGAATCAAAGATGGCGGACAATTTACCAAAACATTGTGATGCCGACGACTCATAAGATAAAATTTCAGTTTTGCATTGTTTTAAGAGGGTGTCATCAAAGATTTAATGACGCTCAGGTTTTTAATTGTTGTTGGGATTAATATATGATACACGATTGTCATGCACTTCATTTATAATATATGAAATGTTGAAAAATATGTTGTCCTCGAATGGCGCCAAATACGAATCGGAAACAATTAAAATATAATTTAGAGAATTGTAACAGTTATTTGGAGGTTTTCGGTCCTAAAAACCTACTACATTTCTCTATCTGATTATATATATTGGTGCAACGTATTGTGTTGATCCTTTTTTGGATTCTTCCTTGCAATTGGGACTCCTTTATAGTGTACGTTTGACAGTGCACCTCGTCGGAATCACTTGTCAGACTTTATAAACTGTATTCTTCAAGTTAAGTCAGATGGACCATCTTCCTGTCTCAGTGCCTCGCAAAAAATATGATAACATGTTTTTCCATAATAAAACAATGCTAGCTAAGACACTTTCCTTTCCAGAAAAGCAACAATTCTGTTGTTACACTAGTTATATATCCAAGATTATCATGTTTTACAAGACACATTCTGTCAGCCGCTTTGGTTGACAGCCATGTCACATCATCAAGGCTTTCTACAACTTTAGTGGTTATAGCCTGTTTCAGTATTACCTAGTAGCCTGCCTTGTGTATCGCTGTGAAAATTAAAACCATTACAGATATTATTCATTGTTTCATTAAAATCTTTAAGTAATGTACATATTACAATCAAATTTTTAGCTCCTCTCAAGAGCATTTTGTATTCCTGCTCTTGATTATACCCTCTAAAGGTTTCTTATCACTAACAGTTATCTATTCAGCACACCTTCTGACTGTTCACACATTCAAAAGTTTTTGCAGTCAGACTGACTGTAACAAGTTCTCTACCCAGTTGGTACAGCCACACTGACTTAACAACAAAAGTGCCATAACTTTCAAAAGGTTTTGATGCAATCAGATGATGTGCTGAATAGATAAAGTGTTAGACATTATGGACAGCAGGTAGGTCCACCTGATTTATTTCCAGAATAGAGTCTATAGAGTCTGACCGGAGATTCTGACAAGGAACAATGTGAAATGTCCAATATTTAATAAAAGAGTCCCAGGGAGGAATCCCAAAAGGGATTACATGTTGTGGTACTCCACAAAAAGTACCATAATTTAAAGCTCAACAAGTTTTTCAGTTGCCAGTTTATGGTCAGCTGTGCATTGTTCTTTAAAACCTAGAGATTGTAGTCCAAATCTAGCTGCAGCCATTGTAAGAGTTTATTTGGGTGAAATGGGAAATATTAATACTGTTACTGTGTGCTCCTTTTCAATTGCATTTCAAGCTAGATACTAATCCAAATTTTTCTCTTAATTTGGTCATGCCAGTCACATGATTTTTTGGTTTTTTTTAGCTATATCTATCTGTTTTTATATGTCATAGATTCCCAGTTGGGCTACTACTCCTGTAGGAATGAATGGATATATCTCAAACTCAGTCTAAAATATTCTTGGGTGGAGCAGAGTCTGTTGTGTATAAACAGTGGATTCTGGTTAAATAGCACAGCATGTACACATCTATGTGTTTACAATTTTGTCATAAGAATGTCTGATTGACCATATTTTTTAAACAAAAACTGTCACTGACCAAAATTTTTTAGCCTGCAAATTAATATCAGCTTCAGCAGACTAAAATTATGTAAAATAAGCATAATCATTTTGAAAAAAATAATATCCCACCCCCTACTTTCAAATAATCAAGGAGTATTGATAAGTGTGATGAGAAAAATCCAGTAACGAGAGATTGAATGGAAAATTAGAAGGTCCTATATTATGTTTGGCTGTTTATTATACATTAAAACAATCAAATTGCAATCAGTCGCATGATGGTAGTAGCTCTGGATTTCTTACTCATTAATCACTTGGCTGATAATAACAGCAAACAGAAATTGAAAATGAAACTATCAAATAAGACTACATAAGTACAGTTGTTGCCAATGATGATGTTTGCTTGCTTGAGGTGATAGCTAGATTTACTTCCCTTTAGCCACAAAAGACTGATTGATCTTCAGACATTGTGTGGGATATCAAATGAAAAAAAAGTATCGTCTTTCACATAAAAGACTTTTGACTTAGAATATTGACCTATTGAAAGTTATTGCGTCTCAGTACTATTCATGGTATACAGTATTTACATTTCTTGTATCCTAAAATCAATCATAGAGAAACACCACTACCAAAAAATAAAAAGTTCTACAATAGTATGAATAAAAGATAATGAAACCCTACACTCTTGTTGTCAGGTTCTACTCAGAAACAGTAAAACCTGATATATATTAGATTGATCTGATATCTTCTACTTTTAGGGTGTAAAGTAGACCTGTGAGAGAATGCTACATTTGACTGCCAGAAATTAGTTTTGAATCTTGCGTTTGAAGGGGAAAATTGTGTCTTATTTTTTATATGTTTTGGTTTTTGCTTTTAGATGTGTCACAATAGACTTCTGACATGGGTATATGTCCAAGGGAGGCTGAGAGCCCTACACTCAATTGAAGTTCTGAAGTTTATCCAAAATGCAATACATATTTTCTCCTGTTGTAGGACACTCTTGCCAATTTGGAGAGGCAGATCTATGCTTTCGAGGGAAGTTATCTTGAAGACACGCAGTTATATGGAAATATAATTCGCGGATGGGATCGCTACCTAGCTAATACAAAGTAAAAAACTATAGATCAAAGCAGCACATGAATAAATTAGTCTGTCCTGAAGTTCATTATGTCACAAAGAAACAAGACCGTTTTGTAATTGTTTGTGCATGACAAAGGGATGACTATCACAAATGGATATATTTCATTGTCAACACTGCTGTTGTTTTCTTTCCTGGTATTGTTGAAAAATTTTATAAGCTTATGATATGTGGCTTTTATGTTTATACTGAAGTCAAAGAGAACATGATGCTGTAAATGAGAGTAAAACATAAAGTTTTATAATGTTGCTTCCAATATATTACACACTTCAATTTGTTCAATTTTTATATTTTTCTGAAGATAATGGGATTTCAAATTTTAATTAGGTTTGGACACCATTTACAAGTTATTTGAATTTAAAATTGCAATTGAAACACTATTTCTTTTTTTTACAGAAATACAAACAGTAAAGCTGATAAAAGAAACAGAAAATTTAAAGAAGCTGACCGATTATTCTCAAAGTCTTCTGTCACTTCTGCTGCAGTAAGTTGATTTCATTTATGTAGGGGATTTGAACTTTTTACATAAGAATTTCACAACTAATCAACTTTTGACAATCAGACAACAGGGTTGGATTTTATGTTTGATGTGAAGAAAATGGAACAGAAAGGCACACAGTTTTGTTCAAGGTGATGGGAACAGGCTAATGCTTCGTGGGAAAAGCAATGTTGGTTTGGTTAGGAGAATGCATTTATTCTGCTAAGATTCATCAACATTTATGCAATAGGAAGATGGAGTTTTAATTTGGGTGTGGTTCACCTATAAGCTGAAATTGTTTAATACCAATGTTAATTTGTTAATAAATGTCAAACTTCATAGAAATAACTCGGGCAATCATTGTTTGTTATTCCATATGTCCATCATGATCCTGTAAGAATAATGACATGTACTCATTATATTGTGCCCATATATTTAATTTAGACTACCTGACTGTTGTGTTGGTCTACATGATCACATCACACACGTCACAAGATATTTACTTTTTGTTGTGCAGGCTGTTAGTGGGTTAGCAGACAACAGTGATAAAAACAGTGAGTATCATTTTTGATGTTTTCAAATGATTAAAACTATTTTTATAAGGATAAGAATAGTTTCTTAATTTGAAAGTTTCTTCCTTGATTTGGAACAGGACCAATATGTTATCTCTATGCTGGATTTTACTGTAGTATATATCAGAGTATCCATCATTCCATCATGAGAAAATGTAATTAAAGAATAATTAATATTTAATAAATATAATTTATATTAATAGTGGGCTGTATTTAAATTTGTATGGTTTAATTCGAGTCCCCAAACAACTTTACAAAAGCAAATCTATATGATGTATCTGTTCATCTCCCTTTCTACTTTGGAGGGGGGAAATACATAGGAGATTTCCACACTTATTTGAATCTAGGTCTCATTTTTTACTTTATTTTGAGAGAAGAATTCTGATTTATCATTTCTTTGTTATGCTGAGAATTCTGGCTGATATTCAAATTTTTGGTACATGATACTTTTATCCTTTTGCAGGAGATAGAGAACCACCTTCCAGCCCGGACTCCCAGAACAATCAAAACAGTGCCAACACACCTCAGACCAATGGACAGGGACCTGGATCACCAGGAAGTCACAGTAATTCACAGAGTCACTCAGGCAAGATACACAAGGGAGGTGGTCCTATCCGACACAAAAAGGGCAAGAACAAGTCTCGGCACAGGTAGGAGGGCTTCTTTATTGAATACAGCTGTTTTTTTTTTTTTTTTTTTACAAAGGGTAATACTGCATTAAAAGAAGTTTAAATTACACAAATGTTTGATAAAGAATTTACTGAAAACTACTGAAAAAATCCAAGAATAATGAGTCATTTTCTCAGTATTTACTTAACACTTTAGTTGTTCACTCTTACCGCATGCTACAGAGAGCATGTATTTAGGAAAACTTATTCACAAGTTTTAGGCAAATTTTATTTTCATTTTTCAACATCTTTTTGAAACAAAATGAATTCCTATAAACTTGATGTACAACAGTTTATCTATCATCAGACATTGAAATGAGTATCATGTTATTTTATAAAAGCAGAAGTTTAACATCATCATGGACTGTGAAAGAGATAGCAGGTTACTCATGTTATTACTGAGTTAATGTTTCAAGTACTAAACATCATTTTCAGATTTCCTTTCATTGAAATTTTCTCCTTTGGAAAATTATCATAAATCAGAGCTTGAAATTAAAGTGTCATTTATTTTTATTTCAGGGTTGATGCTAAGCTGAAAAAAGGAAGAGATGTAAGTTTTTGTTAATGTAACAGTGTATGTGAGGATTTTTTTTGAGACAATTCATGTTTCATGGTATAGTTACACTTTGGTAATTCTTTACAAATTGATTGAGAAATAATGAAGGCATACAGAAGTATCTGCCAGGCATTACTTGGAAAAGAATTTGTTCATGAATTATAATACATGGTTGTTTTTTTTTTTCAGGCCATGGGAGATTAACTAAGGAAAGTGAAGTGACAGAATCATTTCAAGTCCCCTTCTTACTTAATGTTGGTTCAGTTTCCATGTGCATAAAGTATTATGTGAGGACCATCATTGTATACTTTTCAAATATCTATTACCGGAAACTTTCAGAGATGCTTTTAAGTGTTTGTAAACAGTTAAAGTAGTAGATTGAAAAGTTCTTACATCTGAGGAGGAAGACTCAACAGTAAAAGCAGTGAAGCAATGTTTTCAGGATACCAATTAGGACTCTGTGAGTCTGTAGTACTGGTATGAGCTTTGAGAGTGTGTCCACTAGACATTGGTTGCTGGCTTGACCACCTGCTGGACGGCGTGATTGACCAGTAACATACTGTGGTCAGTTGATCTGGAGCTGTTTTACTAGTTGTAGTTCCTGTTTTAATAGATACAGATTTACTCTCAATATTGTTGTACTCTGATTTTAATTGCTACAAGGAAGCGTAGCTCTGTTTTGCATCATCATCACAGCTTATCCTTGAATTATACACCAAAACCTGTTCAGTTGGACATGGTATGTAAATGATGTAAAGAGAAAGGATACATGCACTATAGTATATATACATCTCAAATTACTATTTGTTTTGAATCGGACAAAGCTGGAGTAAAAATTCAAAGCATTATTTTGATGTAGAATCTAAAAGTAAATGTGAAATAAAGTGCAATGCTTGAGCGATTCTGTGAGACATCAACATTATTTGGCCATTTATTTCCTGTTTAGGTAAGGAGTATGTTATGGTTTAAGTTAACCTGTACACGTAGAATGTCTTCAGTTGTGGATGTTGTATGAACCATGTGGTATTTAGAAATACTGAATGCCTTGGCATGTGTTTGTGATATTGTACTTTAAATGCTCCCTATGTTGATTTTAAGATTCAAAACTAAGAAATAAAAACATCCTTCTTGCAATTCAGATGTGTTGACAATTTTGTGCTGATATCAAATATGGATAACATGCCAATGACCTTAACGACTTACTCTGATTAAACAAAACACAGAGTCTTTTGATATATGCCTTAAAGGTTTCAAGGATGAAGCCTTGCAAAGTTCGTAAGAAATTATTATCATATGAGCCTGCAATGATATGTGGTGTACAAGTTCCAGGTATGAATTCCATAAGTTTGTGAAAAGAAATGAACTTGACCCCACTAGTCAAAATCACAATAGGAGTCAAATTTGTTAAGACACTCAGAAGACTTGACCAGTGTGTCAGTGTTACTAGGTTGTATACCAGTGTGTCGGTGTTACTAGTCTGTATACCAGCGTGTCAGTGTTACTAGTCTGTATACCAGCGTGTCGGTGTTACTAGTCTGTATACCAGTGTGTCGGTGTTACTAGTCTGTATTACCAGTGTGTCGGTGTTACTAGTCTGTATACCAGCGTGTCGGTGTTACTAGTCTGTATACCAGCGTGTCAGTGTTACTAGTCTGTATTACCAGTGTGTCAGTGTTACTAGTCTTTATACCAGTGTGTCAGTGTAAGTAGTACATATGATAAAATTAGTTCAGTAAAGATAAGAAAAAGTTCTCCAAATGTAAGTTTTTTAATAAGAAATTAACAAAAGCATACAATTATTATCAGTAGACAGTCGTACCATACCATATAAAGTATAGAGACAGCCATACAATACAGTATCATAGGGACACAGTCATACAATACAGTACCATAGGGACACAGCCATACAATACAGTACCATAGGGAAACAGCCATGCAATACAGTACCATAGGGAGGGACACAGCCATACAATACAGTATCATAGGGACACAGCCATACAATACAGTATCATAGGGACACAGCCATACAATACAGTATCATAGGGACACAGCCATACAATACAGTATCATAGGGAGGGACACAGCCATACAATACAGTATCATAGGGACACAGCCATACAATACAGTATCATAGGGAAACAGCCATACAATACAGTACCATAGGGACACAGCCATACAATACAGTATCATAGGGACACAGCCATACAATACAGTATCATAGGGACACAGCCATACAATACAGTATCATAGGGACACAGCCATACAATACAGTATCATAGGGACACAGCCATACAATACAGTATCATAGGGAAACAGCCATACAATACAGTACCATAGGGACACAGCCATACAATACAGTATCATAGGGACACAGCCATACAATACAGTACCATAGGGACACAGCCATACAATACAGTACCATAGGGACACAGCCATACAATACAGTACCATAGGGACACAGCCATACAATACAGTATCATAGGGACACAGCCATACAATACAGTATCATAGGGACACAGCCATACAATACAGTATCATAGGGAGGGACACAGCCATACAATACAGTATCATAGGGACACAGCCATACAATACAGTATCATAGGGACACAGCCATACAATACAGTATCATAGGGACACAGCCATACAATACAGTACCATAGGGACACAGCCATACAATACAGTATCATAGGGACACAGCCATACAATACAGTATCATAGGGACACAGCCATACAATACAGTATCATAGGGACACAGCCATACAATACAGTACCATAGGGACACAGCCATACAATACAGTACCATAGGGACACAGCCATACAATACAGTACCATAGGGACACAGCCATACAATACAGTACCATAGGGACACAGCCATACAATACAGTACCATAGGGACACAGCCATACAATACAGTACCATAGGGACACAGCCATACAATACAGTATCATAGGGACACAGCCATACAATACAGTATCATAGGGACACAGCCATACAATACAGTATCATAGGGACACAGCCATACAATACAGTATCATAGGGACACAGCCATACAATACAGTACCATAGGGACACAGCCATACAATACAGTATCATAGGGACACAGCCATACAATACAGTATCATAGGGACACAGCCATACAATACAGTACCATAGGGACACAGCCATACAATACAGTATCATAGGGACACAGCCATACAATACAGTATCATAGGGACACAGCCATACAATACAGTATCATAGGGACACAGCCATACAATACAGTATCATAGGGACACAGCCATACAATACAGTATCATAGGGACACAGCCATACAATACAGTATCATAGGGACACAGCCATACAATACAGTATCATAGGGACACAGCCATACAATACAGTATCATAGGGACACAGCCATACAATACAGTATCATAGGGACACAGCCATACAATACAGTATCATAGGGACACAGCCATACAATACAGTATCATAGGGACACAGCCATACAATACAGTATCATAGGGACACAGCCATACAATACAGTATCATAGGGAGGGACACAGCCATACAATACAGTATCATAGGGACACAGCCATACAATACAGTATCATAGGGACACAGCCATACAATACAGTATCATAGGGACACAGCCATACAATACAGTATCATAGGGACACAGCCATACAATACAGTATCATAGGGACACAGCCATACAATACAGTATCATAGGGACACAGCCATACAATACAGTACCATAGGGACACAGCCATACAATACAGTACCATAGGGACACAGCCATACAATACAGTATCATAGGGACACAGCCATACAATACAGTATCATAGGGACACAGCCATACAATACAGTATCATAGGGACACAGCCATACAATACAGTACCATAGGGACACAGCCATACAATACAGTACCATAGGGACACAGCCATACAATACAGATTAATCAGTAAAGGAACAGAATGAAATAATAGGGTTTTAGTATCATAGCTGTAAAGAGATCACAACATTGTAAAATGAAATATTTCTATGATAGGAAGTCAACATCTGTTTAATAAATGAGTAAATTACTGATATAATTCGTTAAATCTAAAAGTTATAATTCATATATACAACGTAAAAAAACATTTTACATATACATTGTGAGGTTAATAATTGTTCTGTGTAATGAGTACCATGTAGGAGTACAACAGTACATACTGTACTTACAACTCAGTCCTAATCAATTTGGACATATGTACCACATAGGAGTTCACCAGTACAACAGTACATACTGTACTTACAACTCGGTCCTAATCAATTTGGACATAAGTACCAGGTAGGAGTTCTAATCAATTTGGAGATATGTACCATGTAGGAGTACACCTGTACATACTGTTCTTACAACTCAGTCCTAACCTATTAGGACATATGTACCACATGTATGGCTTTAATTGCAATGAAACAGTAAGATATTAAATTTTTCACCTTAATGACTTGATCCCTTATTTAGGAATAGTTCAGCTAATCTGAAATCCCAGGAGTATCCAATATAATTATCACACCCAGAGTAAAAATCACAACCAAAGGAAAAAACAGAATTGTAACAGGATTATTCTACAACACACTGATAATGTAGAACCTCATGGCCAGTAATAAAACCCTGGGACAATGTATGAAAACAATTTAATTATCATTTATATAAAGTAGGTATGGAAAAACAGCAAGCATCTTCAACTGATATCAACAATACCTACTTCAATCAATGATTCTAAGTTATATATTGATTTGGTTATGTGACATTGTAACACAGCAGTTTTAGTGATATATATATATCAACAAGTTTATTCTAATTGATCCCAAAGTATGAAAATCAATTTTCCAAATTTGAATACATTTTTCTATCTAAAATAAATGGTTAGTAGATGTTACAGTTCCACACACTGTTGATGTGTCACCCTAAATACATTGTGTTTGGTCCCAGTATCAAGAAAAATATACACCTTTATCATTGTAGAAAATGTTACTAAGCATCCCCATCATATTTACCACACCTGATTCTTATTAAGGTTATATATCAATCTCGATAGCTGTGAGAGTAAAATGAGTGCAGACATAACAATGGATATCTAATGGTAAAGTCTATATACCGGTAGACTACAGACATGGTATAAAGAATTCTTCTGAATTTGTTCTGCTGTTAATGTAGTCATGGTATATAGAGTTCTTTTTTATTTTGAATTTTTGTCTATATAAGGGTGGTAATTTTTTAAGACTTGGTCCACCGATAACTTGATAAAAATTCATGTTGTCAATATCCTCATATAAACAGATTATACCACATTTTATAACAAGAAAAAAACACTGTTTACTAAATATGAATAACAAATAATTTACACTGTCAGTCAACGTGGCCTCATCTCTCTCCAATCTGTCAGTCAACGTGGCGTCATCTCTCTCCAATCTGTCAGTCAACGTGGCCTCATCTCTCTCCAATCTGTCCACCAACATGGCCTCAGCTCTCTCCAATCTGTCAGTCAACGTGGCCTCAGCTCTCTCCAATCTGTCAGTCAATGTGGCCACAGCTCTCTCCAATCTGTCTGTCAACGTGGCCTCAGCTCTCTCCAATCTGTCCACAAACACAGCCTCATCTCTCTCCAATCTGTCAGTCAACGTGGCCTCAGCTCTCTCCAATCTGTCAGTCAATGTGGCCTCATCTCTCTCCAATCTGTCAGTCAACGTGGCCTCATCTCTCTCCAATCTGTCAGTCAACGTGGCCTCATCTCTCTCCAATCTGTCAGTCAATGTGGCCTCAGCTCTCTCCAATCTGTCCACCAATGTGGCCTCATCTCTCTCCAATCTGTCTGTAAACGTGGCCTCATCTCTCTCCAATCTGTCTGTCAGCGTGGCCACTGCTCTCTCCAATCTGTCCACCAACTTGGCCACAGCTCGCTCCAATCTGTCCATCAAGATAGCCTCAGCTCTCTCCAATCTGTCAGTCAACGTGGCCTCAGCTCTCTCCAATCTGTCAGTCAACGTGGCCTCATCTCTCTCCAATCTGTCGGTCAACGTGGCCTCAGCTCCTCTAATCTGTCCATCAAGATGGCGCCCTCACCCTCCAATCTGTCCATCAAGATTGCCACAGCACTCTCCAATAGTAATTTCACATAAAACATCACTATACATGGTAAAATAATATTTCTTTGATTAAACTTTAAAATGCCTCAGAGACACATAATATCAGCTAACAATGTATGAAAGACCTATCCTTATATCAACGTCCTACACACAGGTGAACAATTCTCCCAGAAACTGCTGAGTAAGTCATTGTCACCTCCACAGTCAGCATTTCTGATAGAGACATAATGCTTTTGACACAAATCTGACGTTCACCTGCTAACGTCCAACAAAATGGAGGTCCACCGGTATAGACACCACTTGTTTATCCTTAATAAATTCAACATTGTAAATATGGAAGACCATCAGTAGTCTCCCTTGACTACTGACAAACTATCGATCTTATTTTCTATATAGCTATCATTGTGGTGACCTTCATACAAGATTATCATCATGGTGTTCAGAGGAGTAGGCAGGGTTGTTGATAGTGACAGACCTGGTGTTGGAGTGAGCCATTGCCCCAGGGGGTGGGGCATACAGTCTACTTCCTGTGGCCTCTGTATAGGACAGGCGGTGACCTTGGTGATGCCCCTCACCCAGTGTGGTGCCATTTCCCTCCGGTGCTGCCAGGAACTTAGCACCTAGTGCATTAGAAGCCAACTGTTCATCTCTCTGCCTCTGGAGAGTTTGTCTCAGTGTACGACGTTTCTGTAGATATACAACAGGACATGCTTAATATCATTATCAAATGTCAGAGTTACTAGGACTTTTTGTTACTTACTATGATAACAATCTCGATAAATAACATGATGCATAAAATACATAAGAACCAGTTTTCCTTGGAAATAGTTAAACTAAAAGAACTTAAATTGTTCCCAAACATGATATTCTTACTGCATATACGTAGTAATGATTCTGAAAATGTTTCAAGTGTCTTGTTATTACCAAGGTTTCTCAAATCCATAAAAGCATACAACTATTCAGTGTCAGGATTACTAAGTTAGATGCCTCAGATTTTATTGCTATTCTACCTCCAAACACTGTAAGATATATACATCCATATTAACATACCTACTTTGTATCTCTCACCGACAAACCTAAATCACACACAGCTTCTCAGTACAGAACAAATACATTCAAATTTATAAATACTTTGGCTCTCTTGGGGCTGCGTCTGTAGGAAAAGGTGCTTGAGATATAACTTCAGATTCTTGTATATCTCTAGATCATCTCGACACAACAGACAGAACTAGTTTCCAGTAACTAGCACCATAAAATTACCTAGACAAGAGACTGGAAGTCCTCTAGTCTATACTGGAACTGGAGGTTCCAAGGAGACTGGAGGTTCCAGAGCTTAAGTGAGGACTGGAAATCCAAGAGTCTTAAGAGGGAACCACAGGTCCCACAGCCTAAGTGAGGACCAGAAGTCCAAGAGTCTTAGGTGGGAACCACATGTCCCAGAGCCTAAGTGAGGATCGGATGTCCAGGAGTCTTAGGTGGAAACCACACGACTCAGAGCTTAAGTATGGACTGGAAGTCCAAGGGTCTTAAGTGGAAACCACATGTCCCACAGCCTAAGTGAGGACCAGAAATCCAAGGGTCTTAAGTGGGAACCAAATGTCCCACAGCCTAAGTGAGGACCAGAAATCCAAGGGTCTTAAGTGGGAACCACAGGTCCCACAGCCTAAGTAGTAACCACAGGTCCCAAAACCTTTGCAGGGACTGAAAGTTGTAGAAGTATGACATGAAAATTCAGCTGGAGAAGATCCATTAGCAAGATCAAGATGTAATAATCTGATTAGGAATTAAATGCCATGCCTAACTACAGAAACAACCCAGGTGACAAGAATTGCTAACACAATAGAGAACTATTAAAAATGAAAGTAAATGATACCTTTCCACTTCATGACTATATACATCTAAAATATTCAAGAACTACCTAAAACAAACCAAATGACGGAAAGACTGGGGAATGGAGGTGAGCTAGCTCACAAATGAATGAAGTCTGGTGAAGACAATGATTGATCTGACCATCTTAAAAGATTCACACCAACTGATGCTGAAAATCTAAGACAGACTGACATCGTGCAATGCATTCATTGGTTCCTTTATGTTTCCTTATTACACTGTTATTGGTTTGTCCTCTAAGACCTGTAGGTTCTGAAGAAAAATACAAATGACCTCTTCCAAAGTTCAAATGGACATACTTAATGACAGCAAACGTCTGAACATACAGGTAGGAGAATTCGTCAGCAGACTTCTGAACATACAGGTAGGAGAATTCGTCAGCAGACTTCTGAACATACAGGTAGGAGAATTCGTCAGCAGACTTCTGAATATACAGGTTGGAAAATTTGTCAGCAGACTTCTGAACATACAGGTAGGTGAATTCGTCAGCAGACTTCTGAACATACAGGTAGGAAAATTTGTCAGCAGACTTCTGAACATACAGGTAGGAAAATTTGTCAGCAGACTTCTGAACATACAGGTAGGAGAATTCGTCAGCAGACTTCTGAACATACAGGTAGGAAAATTTGTCAGCAGACTTCTGAACATACAGGTAGGAAAATTTGTCAGCAGACTTCTGAACATACAGGTAGGAGAATTTGTCAGCAGACGTCTGAACAAACAGGTAGGAAAATTCGTCAGCAGACTTCTGAATATACAGGTTGGAAAATTTGTCAGCAGACTTCTGAACATACAGGTAGGTGAATTCGTCAGCAGACTTCTGAACATACAGGTAGGAAAATTCATCTTGCAATTTTTTTCTTGAATCCCATTCTTTCTTGCTTCAGTGTCACAGTTTGAAACAAATATCAAATCTCTCCTGCTGGCCATCAATATTCTATATTTTTCTAGACACAACAAAAACTGTCATTTTCAAAGCCTCATCCAATGGTAGAAGACTACACACTAGTAGTAATGATGTAAAATACATATCAGTTTATTGTCTATACTTGTACCATTATGTCAATCAATCATATGTGGCTACGTAGAGCCCACTACTTTTACATTGATAACTTTGAAAAAAAAAATAACAAAGTTTGTATAATTTCATAAGAAATTTTATTAGTGTGAATATCCAACTGTGTCAAATTAATTAAAACCAATACACAACATAGATTCTGAATAAATCTTTCTCTAGCCAGGAATAAAATCAGGGACCTATTCACTTCAATATTCTCTGATCAGTGTTGAAATCAGCGACTTATTTATCCATGGTGTGAGATGTTTGAACTTAGTCTAAGATAGACACATGGTGTGAGATGTTTGAACTTAGTCCAAGATAGACATATGGTGTGAGACTCTAGACTTAGTCTAAGATAGACACATGATGTCAGATCTTCAGACTTAGTCTAAGACAGACGCATGGTGTGAGATCTCTAGACTTAGTCTACGACAGACACATGGTGTGAGACTCTAGACTTAGTCTACGACAGACACAAGGTGTGAGATCTCTAGACTTAGTCTACGACAGACATATGGTGTGAGATCTCTAGACTTAGTCTATGACAGACACATGGTGTGAGATCTCTAGACTTAGTCTATGACAGACACAAGGTGTGAGATCTCTAGACTTAGTCTATGACAGACACATGGTGTGAGATCTCTAGACTTAGTCTACGACAGACACTTGGTGTGAGATCTCTAGACTTAGTCTACGACAGACACATGGTGTGAGATCTCTAGACTTAGTCTAAGATAGACACATGATGTCAGATCTCTAAACTTAGTCTACGACAGACACATGGTGTGAGATCTCTAGACTTAGTCTAAGATAGACACATGGTGTGAGTTCTCTAGACTCATTTCACACAATCATTTTGCAGTATTTGCCTAAAATGAGTGTTTGTATTATCAAATGCACATTTTGGCTCTATGTGGGAATTCTAACCATACACACGTCACACAGTCATACCATATATGGTCAATTAATTAACACTTAAAAATTAGTGATTTAAATTATTACATCACCTGTCATACTACACATAAACATAAAATTAAGTGGTTCATGATCTTTGTGAATAATTCCTCACATCAAAAATACAAAATTTTAAATAATAAAAATAAATAAACCACACTCACAATAAATAAAAACAATCATAAATGGTATTACACTTTGTTAGAAAACCAGGACTATTTATGGACAAGAAATCCCACAGGGATCTTGGCACCCACCATTGTTTGATCTTTATTTGCTCTTTAACAATTAGAACTTTTCCCATCTTTTTCCTCTCTCTTCTCTGATTTTGCTCTTAATGATGAAAAATTTTAACATTCCTTTGCAGGAATAGTGATGATAATCTTTACCTGCCAAATCCATTATCAAACGAGCACAAGTAGAGACAAAAGGGAACACACATATGAAATTTGAGAGAGATCCATCAAATATTTCTTAAGAAATAGTGATAACAATCTTGCATATCAAAATCCAAGATGGCCACCTGTCAGCCATTTTGTTTTTCTGATCAATTTCAAAATCAAGGGTAAACATACATATGAAATTTAAGAAAGATCCATTCAGTGATTCTCGGTGATAACAAAATTAGTTTACAGACGGACGGATGGACTACCGATGTAGGGCGATGTGAATAGCTCACCATCTGATGATGGTGGGCTAATAAAGGGGTAACAGGGAATGGATATGTCTTTCAAGTGAAACACAACATCAAAGGGCACTGTCAAACATGTCAAACAATTATCACAAAGGGCACTGTCAAACAATTATCACAAAGGGCACTGTCAAACATGTCAAACAATTATCACAAAGGGCACTGTCAAACATGTCAAACAATTATCACATTGGGCACTGTCAAACATGTCAAACAATGACCACAAAGGACACTGTCAAACATGTTAAACAATGACCACAAATGGCACTGTCAAACATGTCAAACAATGACCACAAAGGGCACTGTCAAACATGTCAAACAATGACCACAAAGAGCACTGTCAAACATGTCAAACAATGACCACAAAGGACACTGTCAAACATGTCAAACAATAGTCATAAAGGGCACTGTCAAATATGTCGAACAATTATCACAAAGTTCCCTGTCAAATGTGTTACATATAATCACAAAGGGCACTGTCAAATGTATATATATATAAATATATAATTTCAATATCTGTTATACTTTGATTAGAAGACTACACTTTATATCTACTATATAATTAGACAATATTAACACCATGTTATGATTATAGATTAACCTGGTGTATACATCCTCGTCTTATATAATTAACGTTTGTCTAGAAACAATCATATTAGTAATTCAATTATAAGACACATGTACATGAATAATACAATATAACACTACAAATCAAAGATCTTTTGCTTCTTTTCCATATTTCTGACTTGATTCAGCCTGATTTTCATCCTTCAGAGCTCGGAGAAAGTTCCAGGATTCACGCAGTTGCTTCTTTTTCTGTAAGCATATACAGTACGTATATGTAATGTGATATTGGTAGTAGTTCAGTTACCATTTGTGTTAGTTCTAAAAAATGTCAAAAAGCAGGACATTGTCACATTATCTGCATCATATTTCTTTCTTTATGTTCATAATCTTTATTTCCAAAGGACATCCATCACTAATAGCAGTTACTTCTGTATCAACAGGTAACATTCTTGTAGGTTAGATGTAGTAACTGGTAACATTCCTGTAGGTTATTTATAGTAACTGGTAACATTCCTGTAGGTTAGTAGTAGTAACTGGTAACATTCCTGTAGGTTAGTTATAGTAACTGGTAACATTCCTGTAGGTTAGTAGTAGTAACTGGTAACATTCCTGTAGGTTAGTAGTAGTAACTGGTAACATTCCTGTAGGTTAGTAGTAGTAACTGGTAACATTCCTGTAGGTTAGTTATAGTAACTGGTAACATTCCTGTAGGTTAGTTATAGTAACTGGTAACATTCCTGTAGGTTAGTTGTAGTAACTGGTAACATTCCTGTAGGTTAGTTATAGTAAATGGTAACATTCCTGTAGGTTAGTAGTAGTAACTGGTAACATTCCTGTAGGTTAGATGTGGTAACTGGTAACATTCCTGTAGGTTAGTTATAGTAACTGGTAACATTCCTGTAGGTTAGTAGTAGTAACTGGTAACATTCCTGTAGGTTAGATGTGGTAACTGGTAACATTCCTGTAGGTTAGTTGTGGTAACATGTAACCTTCCTGTAGGTTAGTTAAAGTAACTGGTAACATTCTTGTAGCTTGGTTGTAGTAACTGGTAACATTCCTGTAGTAGGTTAGTAATAGTAACATGTAACATTCCTGTAGGTTATTTTTAGTAATATGCAATATCCCTGTAGGTTAATTGTAGTAACAGGTAACATTCCTGTAGGTTAGTTGTAGTAACAGGTAACATTCCTGTAGGTTAGTTGTAGTAACTGGTAACATTCCTGTAGGTTAGTTATAGTAACTGGTAACATTCCTGAAGGTTAGTTGTAGTAACTGGTAACATTCCTGTAGGTTAGTTGTGGTAACATGTAGTAACTGGTAACATTTCTGTAAGTTAGTTGTAGTAACTGGTAACATTCCTGTAGGTTGGTTGTAGTAACTGGTAACATTTCTGTAAGTTAGTTGTAGTGACTGGTAACATGCCTGTAGGTTAGTTGTGGTAACTGGTAACATTCCTGTAAGTTAGTTGTGGCAACATTTAACATTCCTGTAGGTTAGTTGTAGTAACAAGTAACATTTCTGAAGGTTAGTTGTGGTAACATGTAACATTCCTGTAGGTTAGTTGTAGTAACTGGTAACATTCCTGTAAGTTAGTTGTAGTAACATGTTACATTCCTGTAGGTTAGTTGTGGTAACATGTAGTAACTGGTAACATTCCTGTATGTTAGTTATAGTAACTGGTAACATTCCTGTAGGTTATTTTTAGTAACATGTAACATTCCTGTAGGTCAGTTATAGTAACTGATAACATTCCTGTAGGTTAGTTGTGGTAACATGTAACCTTCCTGCAGGTTAGTTGTAGTAACATGTAACATTCCTGTAGGTTAGTTGTGGTAACATGTAGTAACTGGTAACATTTCTGTAAGTTAGTTGTAGTAACTGGTAACATTCCTGTAGGTTGGTTGTAGTAACTGGTAACATTTCTGAAAGTTAGTTGTAGTGACTGGTAACATGCCTGTAGGTTAGTTGTGGTAACTGGTAACATTCCTGTAAGTTAGTTGTGGCAACATTTAACACTCCTGTAGGTTAGTTGTAGTAACAAGTAACATTTCTGAAGGTTAGTTGTGGTAACATGTAACATTCCTGTAGGTTAGTTGTAGTAACTGGTAACATTCCTGTAAGTTAGTTGTAGTAACATGTTACATTCCTGTAGATTAGTTGTGGTAACATGTAGTAACTGGTAACATTCCTGTATGTTAGTTATAGTAACTGGTAACATTCCTGTAGGTTATTTTTAGTAACATGTAACATTCCTGTAGGTCAGTTATAGTAACTGATAACATTCCTGTAGGTTAGTTGTGGTAACATGTAACCTTCCTGCAGGTTAGTTGTAGTAACATGTAACATTCCTGTAGGTTAGTTGTGGTAACATGTAGTAACTGGTAACATTCCTGTAGGTTAGTTATAGTAACTGGTAACATTCCTGTAGGTTAGTCATAGTAACTGGTAACATTCTTGTAGGTTAGATGTGGTAACTGGTAACATTCCTATAGGTTAGTTATAGTAACTGGTAACATTCCTGTAGGTAAGTTGTAGTAACATGTAACCTTCCTGTAGGTTAGTCATAGTAACTGGTAACATTCTTGTAGGTTAGATGTGGTAACTGGTAACATTCCTGTAGGTTAGTTGTGGTAACATGTAACCTTCCTGTAGGTTAGTTATAGTAACTGGTAACATTCTTGTAGCTTGGTTGTAGTAACTGGTAACATTCCTGTAGGTTAGTTATAGTAACTGGTAACATTCCTGTAGGTTAATTGTAGTAACATGTAACATTCCTGTAGGTTAGCTGTAGTAACAGGTAACATTCCTGTAGGTTAGTTGTAGTAACTGGTAACATTCCTATAGGTTAGTTATAGTAACTGGTAACATTCCTATAGGTTAGCTGCAGTGACTGGTAACATTCCTGTAGGTTAGTTGTAGTAACTGGTAACATTCCTGTAGGTTAGTTGTAGTAACTGGTAACATTCCTGTAGGTTAGTTGTAGTAACTGGTAACATTCCTGTAGGTTAGTTGTAGTAACTGGTAACATTCCTGTAGGTTAGTTGTGGTAACTGGTAACATTCCTGTAAGTTAGTTGTGGCAACATTTAACACTCCTGTAGGTTAGTTGTAGTAACAAGTAACATTTCTGAAGGTTAGTTGTGGTAACATGTAACATTCCTGTAGGTTAGTTGTAGTAACTGGTAACATTCCTGTAAGTTAGTTGTAGTAACATGTTACATTCCTGTAGATTAGTTGTGGTAACATGTAGTAACTGGTAACATTCCTGTATGTTAGTTATAGTAACTGGTAACATTCCTGTAGGTTATTTTTAGTAACATGTAACATTCCTGTAGGTCAGTTATAGTAACTGATAACATTCCTGTAGGTTAGTTGTGGTAACATGTAACCTTCCTGCAGGTTAGTTGTAGTAACATGTAACATTCCTGTAGGTTAGTTGTGGTAACATGTAGTAACTGGTAACATTCCTGTAGGTTAGTTATAGTAACTGGTAACATTCCTGTAGGTTAGTCATAGTAACTGGTAACATTCTTGTAGGTTAGATGTGGTAACTGGTAACATTCCTATAGGTTAGTTATAGTAACTGGTAACATTCCTGTAGGTAAGTTGTAGTAACATGTAACCTTCCTGTAGGTTAGTCATAGTAACTGGTAACATTCTTGTAGGTTAGATGTGGTAACTGGTAACATTCCTGTAGGTTAGTTGTGGTAACATGTAACCTTCCTGTAGGTTAGTTATAGTAACTGGTAACATTCTTGTAGCTTGGTTGTAGTAACTGGTAACATTCCTGTAGGTTATTTTTAGTAACATGTAACATTCCTGTAGGTTAGTTGTAGTAACTGGTAACATTCCTGTAGGTTATTTTTAGTAACTGGTAACATTCCTATAGGTTAGTTATAGTAACTGGTAACATTCCTATAGGTTAGCTGCAGTGACTGGTAACAACCCTGTCAGTAAGTTGAAGTGATAAAATTCATATAAATTTGTCCTGCCAACCCTACTTACCTCTATATTACCCCTCCACCTGTCATCATTACTTACCTCTATATTACCCCTCCACCTGTCATCATTACTTACCTCTATATTACCCCTCCACCTGTCATCATTACTTACCTCTATATTACCCCTCCACCTGTCATCATTACACCTCTATATTACCCCTCCACCTGTCATCATTACTTACCTCTATATTACCCCTCCACCTGTCATCATTACTTACCTCTATATTACCCCTCCACCTGTCATCATTACTTACCTCTATATTACCCCTCCACCTGTCATCATTACTTACCTCTATATTACCCCTCCACCTGTCATCAACACTTACCTCTATATTACCCCTCCACCTGTCATCAACACTTACCTCTATATTACCCCTCCACCTGTCATCAACACTTACCTCTATATTACCCCTCCACCTGTCATCAACACTTACCTCTATATTACCCCTCCACCCACACACTCGTCATCATTACTTACCTCTATATTACCCCTCCACCTGTCATCAACACTTACCTCTATATTACCCCTCCACCTGTCATCAACACTTACCTCTATATTACCCCTCCACCTGTCATCAACACTTACCTCTATATTACCCCTCCACCTGTCATCAACACTTACCTCTATATTACCCCTCCACCTGTCATCAACACTTACCTCTATATTACCCCTCCACCTGTCATCAACACTTACCTCTATATTACCCCTCCACCCACACACTCGTCATCATTACTTACCTCTATATTACCCCTCCACCCACACACTTGTCATCATTACTTACCTCTATATTACCCCTCCACCTGTCATCATTACTTACCTCTATATTACCCCTCCACCTGTCATCAACACTTACCTCTATATTACCCCTCCACCTGTCATCATTACTTACCTCTATATTACCCCTCCACCTGTCATCATTACTTACCTCTATATTACCCCTCCACCTGTCATCATTACTTACCTCTATATTAACCCTCCACCTGTCATCAACACTTACCTCTATATTACCCCTCCACCTGTCATCATTACTTACCTCTATATTACCCCTCCACCCACACACTCGTCATCATTACTTACCTCTATATTACCCCTCCACCCACACACTCGTCATCATTACTTACCTCTATATTACCCCTCCACCTGTCATCATTACTTACCTCTATATTACCCCTCCACCTGTCTGCAGCATTTCGTGCCAGTTCTAACTCCTTTTCCTTTAATCCTCGATGCCGTTTGTATGCTATTTCCACGAAAATGAGGATGACACCCGCAACTATTCCTCCGGCCACCATCATAAACACCCCTGAATACAACATTGATTAAGTTATCAACAAATGTATTGAAGAATTTACTGCTATGTTAAGATTATATCTTGGAAAAAAAACTCAAGCAAGTTTGATATCAATGAATGTACCTGTTATTCACTGTATGTATACATTATACTGTATGTATATACTATACTGTATGTATACACTATACTGCTGTATGTATACACTATACTGTATGTATACACTATACTGTATGTATACACTACTCTGTATGTATACACTATACTGTATGTATACACTATACTGTATGTATACACTACACTGTATGTATACACTACACTGTATGTATACACTATACTGTATGTATACACTACTCTGTATGTATACACTATACTGTATGTATACATTATACTGTATATATACATTATACTGTATGTATACACTACACTGTATGTATACATTATACTGTATGTATACACTATACTGTATGTATACACTATACTGTATGTATACACTACTCTGTATGTATACACTATACTGTATGTATACACTATACTGTATGTATACACTACTCTGTATGTATACACTATACTGTATGTATACACTATACTGTATGTATACACTATACTGTATGTATACACTATACTGTATGTATACTGTACACTATACTGTATGTATATACTATACTGTATGTATACATTATACTGTATGTATACTATACTGTATGTATACATTATACTGTATGTATACACTACACTGTATGTATACATTATACTGTATGTATACACTACTCTGTATGTATACACTATACTGTATGTATACACTATACTGTATGTATACACTACACTGTATGTATACACTATACTGTATGTATACTGTACACTATACTGTATGTATATACTATACTGTACGTATACACTATACTGTATGTATACACTATACTGTATGTATATACTATACTTTATGTATACTATACTGTATGAATACACTATACTGTATGTATACAATACACTGTATGTATACACTATACTGTATGTATACACTACACTGTATGTATACACTATACTGTATGTATACACTATACTGTATGTATACTGTACACTATACTGTATGTATACACTACACTGTATGTATACACTATACTGTATGTATACACTGCACTGTATGTATACACTATACTGTATGTATATACTATACTGCATGTATATACTATACTTTATGTATATACTATACTGTATGTATACACTATACTGTATGTATATACTATACTGTATGTATACACTATACTGTATGTATACACTATATTGTATGTATATACTATACTGTATGTATATACTACACTGTATGTATATACTATACTGTATGTATATACTATACTGTATACACTACACTGTATGTATATACTATACTGTATGTATACACTATACTGTATGTATACACTACACTGTATGTATACACTATACTGTATGTATACATTATACTGTATGTATATACTATACTGCTATATGTATATACTATATGGTACATATACACTATACTGTATGTATACACTATACTGTATGTATACTGTACACTATACTGTATGTATATACTGTATGTATATACTGTACGTATACACTATACTGTATGTATACACTACACTGTATGTATACACTATACTGTATGTATACATTATACTGTATGTATATACTATACTGCTGTATGTATATACTATATGGTACATATACACTATACTGTATGTATACACTACACTGTATGTATACACTATGTATGTATACACTATACTGTACGTATACACTATACTGTATGTATACACTACACTGTATACTGTATGTATATACTATACTGTATGTATACACTATACTGTATGTATACATTATACTGTATGTATACACTATACTGTATGTATATACTATACTGTATGTATACACTATACTGTATGTATACACTATACTGTATGTATATACTATACTGTATGTATACACTATACTGTATGTATATACTATACTGTATGTATATACTACTATGTGTAACTATACACTACAATTTCTACATATACAGGTATACATTGTATATACATACTTGACAATATGTAAAGCAGTGGTGGATACCTATATCTACACTTTAATCAAAACACTGTCAGATACTTACCAGCCATGTTTGTTAGACCTAGTGTGGCAGGAGCCGAATCTCTTTCACTCTCGGAGCAGTCAGTACTTTCATTGAGAATCCATTTATTATCCAGTTCCTCCATTCGGCCTCCTGTCAAAAGTACATAAGACGCCAGCAATGTCTAAAAGTTCTTCTAAATGAAGGAATCTCACACAACTTTACATAACATGACAAAATAAGGGAGACAACTACAGATTTTAGGTTACACCCTATTCAATATAACCAATTTTCTTGTGATCTATTTTGGTTTGGGCTAAATGTTATGGAGAGATGAAAAGGCCTGGGAAAGTGATGGACATAAAGTGTTGAGAACTTAAAATGATGTGACATTTTACAAGTCACCAAGGATGGATCTAAACCAGTCTAACATAGGACCAGAACTTACGTTCATGGAGTTTGAGAATTGCCATCGAGATGTCATGCGTCCAAGGACTTTTCTTTCGGAGGCCAATACCTAGACCTGACCGGCCAAACAATTCCCCAGCTGTGATTAGCTCACAGTCCTTGGCAGCTTCATACTCCAGACGCGATGAATCCCAGATAAAGGCTTGTAGCTCACTACCAGAACAAAACACAAGTATCAACAATTGTCATGATGTGTCAAATTCTTACAAGTTGTGTTACAGGTGTCAACAACTATCACATTGGTGTCAACATGTGTTACAGGTGTCAATAACTATCATATTGATGTCAACATGTGTTACAGGTGTCAAAAACTTTTATATTGATGTCAATATGTAGAGCAGGTGTCAACTAAAATCACAAATGTCAACATGTGTTACAGGTGTCAACAGCTATCACATTGATGTCAACATGTATTACAGTTGTCAAAAATATCTTACAAGAATCAACATGTGTTACAGGTGTCAATAACTATCATATTGATGTCAACATGTGTTACAGGCGTCAACAGCTATCACATTGATGTCAACATGTATTACAGGTGTCAAAAATATCTTACAAGAATCAACATGTGTTACAGGTGTCAACAACTATCATATTGATGTCAACATGTGTTACAGGTGTCAACAACTATCATATTGATGTCAACATGTGTTACAGGTGTCAACAACTATCACACTGATGTCAACATGTGTTACAGGTGTCAGCAAATATCATATTGATGTCAACATGTGTTACAGGTGTCAGCAAATATCACAATATGATTAGCACACCAAGTGTATGACATAAGCTCACATTGGCGCTTCAAGTTAGTTAAACCATCTATCAATTGTACAACTGTCGTGATTTAGATGAGTAGTTGTGAAACATACCCTTTCTTCACCTCATTAATGGCATCCTCAGCTGTACGATAGTTTCTTGTTTCCATCTGGCGATACATTGTAGATAACTCCACTTGTCTCTTGAAGTACATCTCTACAGCACTGTTCTTCACAGTAGCATACTTAAAGTTTTCATTAGGGTTACGCAGCTGTAACACACAAAAATATCAAACTTAATATCACCTAAAGACTGACAATAGAGTGTCCTGATACAGAATTACTAGATAAAAGTAAACTGGTTGTGTTACCCTGATATAGCTAATGAATGATTTATATATCAACCCAGCTGATACCTACCTCTTGTACCATCAATATCTTTGAATGAGGTCTCTGGACAGTCCAGCTGATACCTACCCTAGCATCATCAATCCCCGTGATTAAGGCCTCTGGACAGTCCAGCTGATACCTACCCTAGCATCATCAATCCCCGTGATTGAGGCCTCTGGACGGTCCAGCTGATACCTACCCTAGCATCATCAATCCCCGTGATTAAGGCCTCTGGACATTCCAGCTGATACCTACCCTAGCATCATCAATCCCAATGATTGAGGCCTCTGGACAGTCCAGCTGATACCTACCCTAGAATCATCAATCCCCGTGATTGAGGCCTCGAGACAGTCCAACTGATACCTACCCTAGCATCATCAATCCCTGTGATGAAGGCCTCTGGACAGTCCAGCTGATACCTACCCTAGCATCATCAATACCCGTGATTAAGGCCTCTGGACAGTCCAGCTGATACCTACCCTAGCATCATCAATCCCTGTGATTGAGGCCTCTGGACGGTCCAGCACTAAGAAGGCTGCCAGGTTAGCAGTGTATGATGCCACAATGATCATTGCAAAGCCGGCCCAGACCATTCCTAGTACACGGGCACTGAAGCTGCGAGGAGTTCCTGCAGCCATAAAAAAACTGTATCAGTATAGACATTGTAGTAGAATAATCATACTTATATTTACAAAGTCTATCTGATGATTTCCAAATTTCTTCCTGTACTGATAAACAAGGCTTCAGCATCTCCTCAACATATCAAAATACCTGATTCCCATGAATTTACCCTCCAATCTCAATACCATCCCATGCCAATACTGCCCTGTCTGTGATACCATTGACTCAAACACTGCCCTGTGTGTGATACCATCGACTCTAACAATGCCCTGTCTGTGATACCATTGACTCAAACACTGCCCTGTCTATGATACCATTGACTCTAACACTGCCCTGTCTGTGATACCATTGACTCTAACACTGCCGTGTCTGTGATACCATTGACTCTATCATTGCCCTGTGTGTGATAACATTGACTCTAACACTGCCCTGTCTGTGATACCATTGACTCAAACACTGCCCTGTCTGTGATACCATTGACTCTAACACTTCCCTGTCTGTGATACCATTGGCTCTATCATTGCCCTGTGTGTGATAACATTGACTCTAACACTGCCCTGTGTGTGATACCATTGACTCTATTATTGCCCTGTGTGTGATAACATTGACTCTAACACTGCCGTGTCTGTGATACCATTGACTCTGACACTGCCCTGTCTGTGATACCATTGACTCTAACACTGCCCTGTCTGTGATACCATTGACTCTAACACTGCCCTGTTTGTAATACCATTGACTCTAACACTGCACTCACAGTAATTCACCTTAACACTACAATAGGAGTGACCATCTTACCTTCACCTATGCCACTGTTGAGCAGCACCCCCCAAGCAAACCACATTGCACTAGACAAGTTGAGGGCATCCTCTTCTGTATCGTCACTCTTGGCCAGCTTGAAGCGACCAAAGGGAGAGAATCTGTCGAGAAGATACAGGACTAATGCCACTACATGGACAGAGAGGCCCACCAGAATCCACAGTGTGTCCTGGAATGGTTGCAGGAAGGATGCTAGACTGGAATCCTTCTGAGTCTGAAACAAACGAAATGCTTTCAATGGTATCTGTTAAAAATACTCAGTGCCCTTTAATAGCCTTGTTGGAAAATCATTGTTTAATGAATGTTCCTTCCTGGTATGCCTGAAGATTTGACATTTGATTTTGAATCTTCGCCCTTCAAGGTACGTCTGAAGATTGACAGCGAATCATCGTCCTTCAAGGTACGTCTGAAGATTGACAGCGAATCATCGTCCTTCAAGGTACGTCTGAAGATTGACAGCGAATCATCGCCCTTCAAGGTACGTCTGAAGATTGACAGCGAATCATCGCCCTTCAAGGTACATCTGAAGATTGACAGCGAATCATCGCCCTTCAAGGTACATCTGAAGATTGACAGCGAATCATCGCCCTTCAAGGTACATCTGAAGATTGACAGCGAATCATCGTCCTTCAAGGTACATCTGAAGATTGACAGCGAATCATCGCCCTTCAAGGTACATCTGAAGATTGACAGCGAATCATCGCCCTTCAAGGTACATCTGAAGATTGACAGCGAATCATCGTCCTTCAAGGTACATCTGAAGATTGACAGCGAATCATCGCCCTTCAAGGTACATCTGAAGATTGACAGCGAATCATCGTCCTTCAAGGTACATCTGAAGATTGACAGCGAATCATCGCCCTTCAAGGTACATCTGAAGATTGACAGCGAATCATCGCCCTTCAAGGTACATCTGAAGATTGACAGCGAATCATCGTCCTTCAAGGTACATCTGAAGATTGACAGCGAATCATCGCCCTTCAAGGTACATCTGAAGATTGACAGCGAATCATCGTCCTTCAAGGTACATCTGAAGATTGACAGCGAATCATCGCCCTTCAAGGTACATCTGAAGATTGACAGCGAATCATCGCCCTTCAAGGTACATCTGAAGATTGACAGCGAATCATCGTCCTTCAAGGTACATCTGAAGATTGACAGCGAATCATCGCCCTTCAAGGTACATCTGAAGATTGACAGCGAATCATCGTCCTTCAAGGTACATCTGAAGATTGACAGCGAATCATCGTCCTTCAAGGTACATCTGAAGATTGACAGCGAATCATCGTCCTTCAAGGTACATCTGAAGATTGACAGCGAATCATCGTCCTTCAAGGTACATCTGCAGAATGACAGTGAATCATCCCTCTTCAAGGTATGTCTGAAGACTGACAGTAAACCTGAATACCTTGACCTGTAACCTTTTCCTGAATACCCTGACCTGTAACCTTTTCCAGAATAACTTGACCTGTAACCTTTTCCTGAATACCTTGACCTGTAACCTTTTCCTGAATACCTTGACCTGTAACCTTTTACAGATTTATTTTTAGTAATAGCCTTTCCTCTACATTAATTACTTGATCTGTGATTCCTTGACCTTTAACCTTTCCTGAATACTTCTCTTTGACCTGTAACTTTTCTTGTACATTCATTATTAGATCTGTTATTGCTATCTGTGACTTTTACAGATTAAGCACTTTGACATGTGATTCTGACCTTTTTGACCAATATGATGAGACCCTGGTACTTGAATGGTTTGGAGAAGTCAATGTGTTCGGCCCGTTCTGGGTTGATGGTGAGTGGTGCTACTATCAGGTCTGACTGTTCGCTGACCAGTTCTCCAATCATTCCATTCCATGTCTTCATCTTACTGTTGTTACTCTGTAATCAAAATTCACACATCATCAGAGACACCTACTTGTTTAAGATTTTACTGGTAAGATTTCTATACTGGACTGATGTCACCTGTGAGAGACTTTTTAATAGAATGTTGGTAAAATATCAATATTTCACTCACAGAGTTTGACAAAATACTTACCCGTGTTAGAGTGCCAAAGGAGTTATCTGTACTCAGGTGTAGTTCAAAAGTAAAGTTCACTTTCATAGAGATGTCTATCAACATATCAATGCAGTAACCATAGCAACAGTAGTCAACTTTCTCCCCTGTAAAAAGAACAGGTAACTTTGTAATGTAGAGAAATGTTACATACTGGGCCTAAGGGCCATATCATCACCTCAGCTTGTGGTGACATTTACAGAAATAACAGAGTAACAGAGTAAGATGACTTAAATTACAATGTACAAATGAAGCAATTGAAAAAGTGTTTTTCCAATAGAATTAGATTTGAGAAGGGCCACAATTATAGTTTTCTTCATCTGCAATCGGTCAAACAAAGAGTGTGTCTATTTAAGATTGCCTCACCTGTTGTAGAATTAAGTCTGTCTCAGCTGTTGTATCAGCTGCTGTAGAATTATTAAATCTGTCTCACCTGTTGTAGAATTAAATCTGTCTCACCTGTTGTAGAGTTAAATATGCCTCAACTGTTGTAGAATTAAATATGTCTCACCTGTTGTAGAGTTAAATATGTCTCACCTGTTGTAGAATTAAATCTGTCTCACCTGTTGTAGAATTAAATCTGCCTCACCTGTTGTAGAATTAAATATGTCTCACCTGTTGTAGAGTTAAATATGTCTCACCTGTTGTAGAATTAAATCTGTCTCACCTGTTGTAGAGTTAAATATGCCTCACCTGTTGTAGAATTAAATATCTCTCAGCTGTTGTAGAGTTAAATATCTCTCAGCTGTTGTATCAGCTGCTGTAGAATTATTAAATCTGTCTCACCTGTTGTAGAGTTAAATATGCCTCAACTGTTGTAGAATTAAATATGTCTCACCTGTTGTAGAGTTAAATATGTCTCACCTGTTGTAGAATTAAATCTGTCTCACCTGTTGTAGAATTAAATCTGCCTCACCTGTTGTAGAGTTAAATATGTCTCACCTGTTGTAGAGTTAAATATGCCTCACCTGTTGTAGAATTAAATATCTCTCAGCTGTTGTAGAGTTAAATATCTCTCAGCTGTTGTATCAGCTGCTGTAGAATTATTAAATCTGTCTCACCTGTTGTAGAGTTAAATATGCCTCAACTGTTGTAGAATTAAATATGTCTCACCTGTTGTAGAGTTAACTATGTCTCACCTGTTGTAGAATTAAATCTGTCTCACCTGTTGTAGAATTAAATCTGCCTCACCTGTTGTAGAGTTAAATATGCCTCACCTGTTGTAGAATTAAATATCTCTCAGCTGTTGTAGAGTTAAATATCTCTCAGCTGTTGTATCAGCTGCTGTAGAATTATTAAATCTGTCTCACCTGTTGTAGAGTTAAATATGCCTCAACTGTTGTAGAATTAAATCTGTCTCACCTGTTGTAGAGTTAAATATGCCTCAACTGTTGTAGAATTAAATATGTCTCACCTGTTGTAGAGTTAAATATGTCTCACCTGTTGTAGAATTAAATCTGTCTCACCTGTTGTAGAATTAAATCTGCCTCACCTGTTGTAGAGTTAAATATGCCTCACCTGTTGTAGAATTAAATATCTCTCAGCTGTTGTAGAGTTAAATATCTCTCAGCTGTTGTATCAGCTGCTGTAGAATTATTAAATCTGTCTCACCTGTTGTAGAGTTAAATATGCCTCAACTGTTGTAGAATTAAATATGTCTCACCTGTTGTAGAGTTAACTATGTCTCACCTGTTGTAGAATTAAATCTGTCTCACCTGTTGTAGAATTAAATCTGCCTCACCTGTTGTAGAGTTAAATATGCCTCACCTGTTGTAGAATTAAATATCTCTCAGCTGTTGTAGAGTTAAATATCTCTCAGCTGTTGTATCAGCTGCTGTAGAATTATTAAATCTGTCTCACCTGTTGTAGAGTTAAATATGCCTCAACTGTTGTAGAATTAAATATGTCTCACCTGTTGTAGAGTTAACTATGTCTCACCTGTTGTAGAATTAAATCTGTCTCACCTGTTGTAGAATTAAATCTGCCTCACCTGTTGTAGAATTAAATATGTCTCACCTGTTGTAGAATTAAATCTGTCTCACCTGTTGTAGAATTAAATCTGCCTCACCTGTTTTAGAGTTAAATTTGTCTCACCTGTTGACTGATTCAATATGTCTCACCTGTTGTACATTTTAATCTGTCCCACCTGTTGTAGAGTTTAGTCTGTCTCTCCTATAGTAGATTGAAGTTTATCTCACCTGTTCTCAAGCTAAATTTGTCTCAACTGTTACCAAGCTAAATTTGTCTCAACTGTTACCAAGCTAAATCTGTCTCACCTGTTCTCAAGCTAAATCCATGTTATCTGTTGTCACAGTTAACCTGTTGTCTTACTTAGACTCTCTCACCTGTTGTAGAATTAAATCTGCCTCACCTGTTGGAGAGTTAAATATGTCCCACCTGTTGTAGAGTTAACTATGTCTCACCTGTTGTAGAATTAAATCTGCCTCACCTGTTGTAGAGTTAAATATGTCTCACCTGTTGTAGAGTTAAATATGTCTCATCTGTTGTAGAGTTAAATATGCCTCACCTGTTGTAGAGTTAAATATGTCTCATCTGTTGTAGAATTAAATCTGCCTCACCTGTTGTAGAGTTAAATATGCCTCACCTGTTGTAGAGTTAAATATGTCTCACCTGTTGTAGAGTTAAATATGTCTCACCTGTTGTAGAGTTAAATATGTCTCACCTGTTGTAGAATTAAATCTGCCTCACCTGTTGTAGAGTTAAATATGCCTCACCTGTTGTAGAGTTAAATATGTCTCACCTGTTGTAGAGTTAAATATGTCTCATCTGTTGTAGAGTTAACTATGTCTCACCTGTTGTAGAGTTGACTTTCCAACATACGCGTTCATTCTTGCTTTCCTCACAGGTGCCTTTTTCTGACATAAGTTCTGTGTGTACAAATGGGGTGGCTTTCAAAGTTACCACCTACAAAACAATGTGCACAACCCAGTCATCATAAATTCTACTATCCCTAAACATACAATGTGGAAATGTATATTAACACAAGCATACTTTATATAAACAGCTACATACAGACTCTGTACTCATCATGTACATATTCACAAAGTTTTACGAACAGAAAGAGCGAGTCAGTTCAGCTAACATTTTTACACACAACCTTCTGATCATCCTGAGCTGAATGACCACTGTAAAATTGTACCAATGCTGTGCTTACTTTTTACATACAACCTTCTACTCATCCTGAGCTGAATGACCACTGTAAAATTGTACCAATGCTGTGCTTACTTTTTACACACAACCTTCCACTCATCCTGAGCTGAATGACCACTGTAAAATTGTACCAATGCTGTGCTTACTTTGAGATGAGTGGATATCTTGACACCTTTAGGTTTCACCATCAGGTTTCCTGGCCACACAATCTTATTCTCACTCTTGATCTGAAGAGCAGGTTCTGTAGCCTGAAACATAGAGTGGTTTTCACTTTTTCTAAAAGTCTGGCTTTTTTTTTCAACATGATTTTCTTTTTTTCTGTATAATTACAAACAATTATAAATGCAGCGCACTTGTGTCTGTATTTCCTTGTCCCTATATCACAGTCTCTTATTTTATTGAAAGATGATGGGCGTCCTGTTTTCTAATCGGTGGTGAAATATATTCCTCCTTTCTGTATTTACATTTTTTCAAAGCGTAATATTGCCTTCATTGTTGGTTAGATGTTATGCCCAATTTGCATTTAAATCCATTTTCCCTTTTGCGGTGAAAATGGGCAAACAAGAATTGTCCTTATCTGTAGTATTTTGTTTATGTATCAAGGTATTTTCCTTTTGTATAGAGACAGACATGTTCCCTTTTTTGTGTAGGCAGACGTATTCTCTTTTGTGTATGCATAAAATCTGCCCTTTTTCAGATAAGCAGACATATTCTCTTTTGTGTATGCATAAAATCTTCCCTTTTTCAGATAAGCAGACATATTCCCTTTTGTGTATGCATAAAATCTTCCCTTTTTCAGATAAGCAGACATATTCCCTTTTGTGTATGCATAAAATCTTCCCTTTTTCAGATAAGCAGACATATTCCCTTTTGTGTATGCATAAAATCTTCCCTTTTTCAGATAAGCAGACATATTCCGTTTTGAGGATAGGCAGACGTGTTCCCTTGTCTAGAGAGAGATAGGGTTAATTTCATGTACTGACAGACATGTTCCCTTGTCTAGAGAGAGATAGGGTTAATTCCATGTACTGACAGACGTGTTCATTTGTCTAGAGAGAGATAGGGTTAATTCCATGTACTGACAGACGTGTTCCCTTGTCTAGAGAGAAATAGGGTTAATTCCACGTACTGACAGATGTGTTCCCTTGTCTAGAGAGAGATAGGGTTCATTCCATGTACTGACATGTTCCCTTGTCTAGAGAGAGATAGGGTCCATTCCATGTACTGACAGACGTGTTCCCTTGTCTAGAGAGAGATAGGGTCCATTCCATGTACTGACAGATGTGTTCCCTTGTCTAGAGAGAGATAGGGTCCATTCCATGTACTGACAGACATGTTCCCTTGTCTAGAGAGAGATAGGGTCCATTCCATGTACTGACAGACGTGTTCCCTTGTCTAGAGAGAGATAGGGTTCATTCCATGTACTGACATGTTCCCTTGTCTAGAGAGAGATAGGGTCCATTCCATGTACTGACAGACGTGTTCCCTTGTCTAGAGAGAGATAGGGTTAATTCCACATACTGACAGATGTGTTCCCTTGTCTAGAGAGAGATAGGGTTCATTCCATGTACTGACATGTTCCCTTGTCTAGAGAGAGATAGGGTCCATTCCATGTACTGACAGACATGTTCCCTTGTCTAGAGAGAGATAGGGTCCATTCCATGTACTGACAGACGTGTTCCCTTGTCTAGAGAGAGACAGGATTCATTCCATGTACAGACATGTTCCCTTGTCTAGAGAGAGATAGGGTCCATTCCATGTACTGACAGACATGTTCCCTTGTCTAGAGAGAGATAGGATTCATTCCATGTACAGACATGTTCCCTTGTCTAGAGAGATAGGATTCATTCCATGTACTGACAGACATGTTCCCTTGTCTAGAGAGAGATAGGGTCCATTCCATGTACTGACAGACGTGTTCCCTTGTCTAGAGAGATAGGATTCATTCCATGTACAGACATGTTCCCTTGTCTAGAGAGATAGGATTCATTCCATGTACTGACAGACGTGTTCCCTTGTCTAGAGAGAGATAGGGTTACTAACAGACATGTTCCCTTGTCTAGAGAGAGATAGGGTTACTAACAGACGTGTTCCCTTGTCTAGAGAGAGATAGGGTTACTGACAGACATGTTCCCTTTTCTAGAGAGAGATAGGGTCCATTTCATGTACTGACAGACGTGTTCCCTTGTCTAGAGAGAGACAGGATTCATTCCATGTACAGACATGTTCCCTTGTCTAGAGAGAGATAGGGTCCATTCCATGTACTGACAGACATGTTCCCTTGTCTAGAGAGAGATAGGATTCATTCCATGTAGAGACATGTTCCCTTGTCTAGAGAGATAGGATTCATTCCATGTACTGACAGACGTGTTCCCTTGTCTAGAGAGAGATAGGGTTACTAACAGACATGTTCCCTTGTCTAGAGAGAGATAGGGTTACTAACAGACGTGTTCCCTTGTCTAGAGAGAGATAGGGTTACTGACAGACATGTTCCCTTGTCTAGAGAGAGATAGGGTCCATTTCATGTACTGACAGACGTGTTCCCTTGTCTAGAGAGAGATAGGGTTCATTCCATGTACTGACAGACGTGTTCCCTTGTCTAGAGAGAGATAGGGTTACTAACAGACATGTTCCCTTGTCTAGAGAGAGATAGGGTTACTAACAGACGTGTTCCCTTGTCTAGAGAGAGATAGGGTTACTGACAGACATGTTCCCTTTTCTAGAGAGAGATAGGGTCCATTTCATGTACTGACAGACGTGTTCCCTTGTCTAGAGAGAGACAGGATTCATTCCATGTACAGACATGTTCCCTTGTCTAGAGAGAGATAGGGTCCATTCCATGTACTGACAGACATGTTCCCTTGTCTAGAGAGAGATAGGATTCATTCCATGTACAGACATGTTCCCTTGTCTAGAGAAATAGGATTCATTCCATGTACTGACAGACGTGTTCCCTTGTCTAGAGAGAGATAGGGTTACTAACAGACATGTTCCCTTGTTTAGAGAGAGATAGGGTTACTAACAGACGTGTTCCCTTGTCTAGAGAGAGATAGGGTTACTGACAGACATGTTCCCTTGTCTAGAGAGAGATAGGGTCCATTTCATGTACTGACAGACATGTTCCCTTGTCTAGAGAGAGATAGGGTTCATTCCATGTACTGACAGACATGTTCCCTTGTCTAGAGAGAGATAGGGTTACTGACAGAGGTGTTCCCTTGTCTAGAGAGAGATAGGGTTACTGACAGACGTGTTCCCTTATTTACAAAGGCAGTAATACTCCTCTATGATGTGTTATTGCCTTTTTTATCACAAGATTTCTTCCTTTTATGTGTGTTCTGTATTTTCAATATAATAAATTCAAGAAAAAAACCTTCTTTTGATTAATTGACTTACCTGCTTGTTGCCATAGTAGCCAACCATTTTGTCGTCTTCCTGAGGGTGTTGGGTGTTTCTGATAGAGTAAACTGCGTTCACCCTGTCCCCATCCTCATTAAAACTCACTTGTCCAGTAAGACCCATCTCCAGCTTCTCTGCCTTCAGTGATCTAACACACAAATAATAAATCATAACTAACTCTTGGAGAATAAGATCTGCTTGTGGTGTTTTTAGACCTCAAGGAAATCGTACTCACATTGAGGTTCCTGAAAAAGGATGATTTTTCCCTATCACTCATAACCTTACCTGAACACAACACAATGTATTCTCTGTGTTATCTTATAAGCAACTATAGAGGCTTACAAAACAAACTTCCTTTTCCATGTAAGCACAAATATATATCTATTGCATTCTTGTTTTTGAATGGTGGGGACTAGAGGATGCCCGATTTAACTGTAAGGGATTTTAGGGTTTCTGGTTTTATGAACTGAAGTCTAGATTGCGTGCTATATTACATCCTAAGGAAGGACAGGACTTTGACCTGTGAAATAGCCACACACTTACTCCAGTATCTGGGTTCCAATCTTCCAGTTATTGTTTGCACTCCGACAGTTTGTGGGTGTGTCAGTGATATTCTGTAGGTCACTGTTGGCGAGGAAGAACTTCTGCATGGCCTGACCAATGACACGGACACTGTCTTGAATGTGGGAGTCTTCATTCGTACTGTTAGACAACCTCAGACCAAGCATACCTGTAAAAGAGTGAAGTGACCTACATACTTCTAGGCAATCATCAGGCTACCATATTGTCAACCAATCATACATTTTCTATCAGCAGTACATACCAACAGGAATGGAAGGAGCATTCAGGGCCTGTTCACTCACTATCCACGCATATCCTGCTGTTGTAAGATTCAGATTCTTTGCATCTCTAAAAAGGTGTTCAGCATCTGTTTCTCTGTAACAAAAATACAGAATGTTGGTGTGTTTGTGTATATACATCCTCCCTGAAGGATACCTAGTACATACTTACAATGATGACAGAAGTATGACTTACGATGATGACAGAAGTATGACTTACGATGACGACAGAAGTATGACTTACCATGACGACAGAAGTATGACTTACCATGACGACAGAAGTATGACTTACGATGACGACAGAAGTATGACTTACGATGACGACAGAAGTATGACTTACAATGACGACAGAAGTATGACTTACAATGATGACAGAAGTATGATGATGACAGAAGTATGACTTACGATGATGATAGAAGTATGACTTACGATGATGACAGAAGTATGACTTACGATGACGACAGAAGTACGATGATGACAGAAGTATGACTTACGATGGTGACAGAAGTACGATGATGACAGAAGTATGACTTACGATGGTGACAGAAGTATGACTTACGATGATGACAGAAGTATGACTTACGATGATGACAGAAGTATGACTTACGATGATGACAGAAGTATGACTTACGATGATGACAGAAGTATGACTTACGATGATGACAGAAGTATGACTTACAATGATGACAGAAGTATGACTTACGATGGTGACAGAAGTACGATGATGACAGAAGTATGACTTACGATGGTGACAGAAGTACGATGATGACAGAAGTATGACTTACGATGATGACAGAAGTATGACTTACGATGATGACAGAAGTATGACTTACGATGGTGACAGAAGTATGACTTACGATGACAGAAGTACGATGATGACAGAAGTATGACTTACGATGGTGACAGAAGTACGATGATGACAGAAGTATGACTTACGATGATGACAGAAGTATGACTTACGATGATGACAGAAGTACGATGATGACAGAAGTATGACTTACGATGATGACAGAAGTATGACTTACGATGATGACAGAAGTACGATGATGACAGAAGTATGACTTACGATGATGACAGAAGTATGACTTACGATGATGACAGAAGTACGATGATGACAGAAGTATGACTTACGATGATGACAGAAGTATGACTTACGATGGTGACAGAAGTACGATGATGACAGAAGTATGACTTACGATGGTGACAGAAGTACGATGATGACAGAAGTATGACTTACGATGATGACAGAAGTATGACTTACGATGATGACAGAAGTATGACTTACGATGATGACAGAAGTATGACTTACGATGACAGAAGTACGATGATGACAGAAGTATGACTTACGATGGTGACAGAAGTACGATGATGACAGAAGTATGACTTACGATGATGACAGAAGTATGACTTACGATGATGACAGAAGTACGATGATGACAGAAGTATGACTTACGATGACAGAAGTATGACTTACGATGACGACAGAAGTATGACTTACGATGACGACAGAAGTATGATAATGACAGAAGTATGACTTACGATGATGACAGAAGTATGACTTACGATGGTGACAGAAGTATGACTTACGATGATGACAGAAGTATGACTCTGGACTGTAAGGAAGGTATAGACTTCAATGTAGCCGTAAACTTCTTAATGCCTGATGGGTACTTGTACACCTTTTCTATCTACAAAAACAAAATAAACAGATAGAAAAACTCTGACATTGTGTTATTGTAAAAGAAATCTTGTATAACAGGTATATCAAACAAGAGATGCAGTGACCTTAATAATTCCACTGATCTTTTCTTTAAACAGTCGAACTGATGGTTGATATTGTGACTGAAAGCCAAAGTGTCATCTAATAAGCCAAATCCATAGTTACTGTTTGAAAAAGGTTTGCATATCAATATTTGCCAATAAAAAGATATATGACCTGAACATTTGTGCCTGTGACCCTAACTTTCTGTCAAATTTATCCATTTTAAATAATTTGTATTGTTTAGAGAAAATCTCCCCATTAACAGAAAAATTAACAAATTTACTGTTATCTTTAACCTGATATCTCCCACGAAATTTAAATCTACCTTGACCTCTGAACAGCAGTGACCTTGACCTGTAGTCAGACTAGTCAGACACCTACTTTGATTTTTATCAATTTTACTTTGAAACAAATGTACGACAGAATTAGGACCTTGACCTTGAACTTGATGACTATAACCTTTGATCAGTCTCTTGCTTGATTTGATCTGATCAACTTTGCTCTATGACCATGACTTCTGACTTGGTGACCTTGATCACTGACAGAAAGACATTGACTTTAAATAAAAGTTCTTGATTCTAAACAACTTTACTTCATAATGATTTATCAAATGTTTATAAAAAAACGTAAAATTAAATAATATACAATAAACAATGCCTAATGCTGATACTTGTTTGTATTCCAACTTTCCAGATTTATGTAACTTTTGATAAAAAATACTATTGACCTTGTTGTACTGAAGCCTTTTACACTTAAGTGATGTATTTACTAAAGTTCTTAAAGAACAGACACAGATGTTACTGTACTTGAACATCTTACACTCGTTTCCTTTGACTATAATGAAGTTAATTAATGTAATTTTGACAATAGATTTATTAAGATATTATCATTTGTTAGAAAAGTGTTTATTAATCTAGATCATATACCTTGTTTCCAAATCAGTTGTAGAAGATTCTCATTATTGAGAAGGTTTTATAATTAAGATAGAAGAGGACTCTAATCTATTCAGGGATAATTACATTGTTATTACGCTACCATTGTTTAAACCTTGTCTGATCTTACATGGACTTCCAGCAATCTTCATTAATCAAGTATACTACATATATCTACATTAATATCTGTGTGTTTCCAATCAAAAAGTAGATACAAACAATGTAGTTTCTAAATTCAACTCCTCACAAAATAAGAAAGTATCTGCCATGAGACCTACCAAGATGTCCTCCTTTTCAGCCAGCCACTTGAATCGACTCAGAATCATGCGACCCTCTTCGTCCATACTGTGAATGAAGATTACTTGCTTCCAACCAAAATTTGTCAGCATCTTAAGCCAAGCATCGGCCTGGTGAAAATAAGGTGGCACCGTCCTCAGGAATGTGGGGTGTACATTCTAAAGGCCAAACACACAATAATATAATACAGACAATTAGCAAATAAAATCCAACATACAACAGATGATTTTAAAGGAGTCAGTTTTCACTATAACTGTATCTAGGAGGGAGTGATCAGAGTAAACAGGGAGATTATAGAGTCAATACTGGTATAGTGATGTCTCTACATCAAAATACAATAATCAGGTCAATCCACCAGTTACTAACTTATAACTGTAAATCTCACAATTATCAAATCTTAATATAAGACTTTTTATCTTGTAACTGATTTTGTCTTGTCATCATCATAAAACTGATTATTTTTGTGGATCTGAAGTGATACATCATTAAACACCTTGTCTGAGAATGAGCTATCCCTGGTGGAGATTCCAATGACAGGAATATTGTAGAAACCGCAGGTATACGACACGGAGATAGGTGCCTGGTCATTATCCTGAGGTGGTGGGTGGCTCACGATTACTATGTGTACAGCTTTCTTTACTAACTCATCACACAGCTTCAGAGCTGAGCGGATCCGGTTAGGGTCCATTATAATGGAGGTATACTCAAACCGAATGTTTAACGGAGCTTGGGAATTGTTATTGAGTTTGCGTACTGCCTCCTCAAACTCCAGCTGGTTTTGTGCGGAGCTTAGAATAGCGCCAATCCTGACAATACGAGAGTCGGCAAAAGACTGGAGCATCAACAGTGACAGGAGGAAAACCTTGTAGGTATTCTGATGGGTCTCCATGGTGACACTTAGTACACGTTTCACAAATATAGGCCGATTCAGTGGGATTCAGCTAGAATAAAGAAATATTAACATCATTATTTCACACTTGTGACACGAGTAATTTATCTGTAAAGATTAATACAACACATCCGTGTTATAATTAATACAACACACCAATGTTATAATTAATACAACACATTGATGTTATAATTAATACAACACACATATGTTATAATTAATACAACACATCAATGTTATAATTAATACAACTCACAAATTTGATAATTAATACAACACACATATGTTATAATTAATACAACACACCAACATTATAATTAATACAACACACATATGTTATAATTAATACAACACACCAACATTATAATTAATACAACACACATATGTTATAATTAATACAACACACCAACATTATAATTAATACAACACACATATGTTATAATTAATACAACACACCAACATTATAATTAATACAACACACATATGTTATAATTGATACAACACATTAATGTTATAATTAATACAACACATCAATGTTATAATTAATACAACACACCAACATTATAATTAATACAACACACATATGTTATAATTAATACAACACACCAATGTTATAATTAATACAACACACAACACACCATGTTATAATTAATACAACACACCAACATCATAATTAATTAATACAACACACATAGTGTTATAATTAATACAACACACCAATGTTATAATTAATACAACACACAATGTTATAATTAATACAACACACCAATGTTATAATTAATACAACACACCAATGTTATAATTAATACAACACACATATGTTATAATTAATACAGCACATCAATGTTATAATTAATACAACTCACCAATGTTATAATTAATACAACACATTAACAACACACAACACACAATGTTATAATTAATACAACACACCAACATGTTATAATTAATACAACACACAACATTATAATTAATACAACACACATATGTTATAATTAATACAACAACACACACAACACACCAATGTTATAATTAATACAACACACATATGTTATAATTAATACAACACACCAATGTTATAATTAATACAACACACAATGATATAATTAATACAACACACTGAAGTTATAATTAATACAACACACAAATAATTAATACAACACACAATGTTATAATTAATACAACACACCAATGTTATAATTAATACAACACACAACACATGTTTATAATTAATACAACACACCAATGTTATAATTAATACAACACACACACAACACACCATGTTATAATTAATACAACACACAATGTTATAATTAATACAACACACACAGTTATAATTAATACAACACACCAATTATAATTAATACAACACACATGTTATAATTAATACAACACACCAACATTATAATTAATACAACACACAAATGTTATAATTAATACAACACACCAATGTTATAATTAATACAACACATTGATGTTATAATTAATACAACACACCAACATTATAATTAATACAACACACATAATTAATACAACACATAATTAATACAACACACATTGTTATAATTAATAAACACACCAACATTAATACAACACACAATGTTATAATTAATACAACACACCAATGTTATAATTAATACAACACACAATGTTATAATTAATACAACACACACAGATGTTATAATTACAACACACCAATGTTATAATTAATACAACACACACATGTTATAATTAATACAACACACAGTGTTATAATTAATACAACACACACATTATAATTAATAACACACACACACACATGTTATAATTAATACAACACACCAATGTTATAATTAATACAACACACCAATGTTATAATTAATACAACACACACACATTGATGTTATAATTAATACAACACACCAATGTTATAATTAATACAACACACCAACATTATAATTAATACAACACACATGTTATAATTAATACAACACACCAACATTATAATTAATACAACACACATATGTTATAATTAATATAATTAATACAACACACCATGTTATAATTAATACAACACACAATGTTATAATTAATACAACACACCAACATGTTATAATTAATACAACACACAATGTTAATACAACACACAAATTAAATACAACACACACATTGATGTTATAATTAATACAACACACCAATGTTATAATTAATACAACACACCAGTGTTATAATTAATACAACACATCAATGTTATAATTAATACAACACATCAATGTTATAATTAATACAACACACCAATGTTATAATTAATACAACACACCAACATTATAATTAATACAACACACAATGTTATAATTAATACAACACACAATGTTATAATTAATACAACACACCAATTGATATAATTAATACAACACACAGTGTTAAATTAATACAACACACCAATGTTATAATTAATACAACACACCAACATGTTATAATTAATACAACACACAATGTTATAATTAATACAACACACCAATGTTATAATTAATACAACACACCATGTGTTATAATTAATACAACACACCAATGTTATAATTAATACAACACATACAACACACCAACATCATAATTAATACAACACACATATGTTATAATTAATACAACACACCAATGTTATAATTAATACAACACACCAACATTATAATTAATACAACACACATGTTATAATTAATACAACACACCATGTTATAATTAATACAACACACCAATGTTATAATTAATACAACACACAATACAACACACAATGTTAATAATTAAACACACACATTATAATTAATACAACACACACAGGGATGTTATAATTAATACAACACATTATAATTAATACAACACACACAAGTTAATTAATACAACACACCAATGTTATAATTAATACAACACACTAATGTTTAATTAATACAACACACCAACATTATAATTAATACAACACAACAATGATATAATTAATACAACACATTGATGTTATAATTAATACAACACACCAACTTTATAATTAATACAGCACATTGATGTTATAATGAATACAACACATTGATGTTATAATTAATACAACACACCAACATTATAATTAATACAACACACCAATGTTATAATTAATACAACACACTGATGTTATAATTAATACAACACACCAATGTTATAATTAATACAACACATCAATGTTATAATTAATACAACACACCAATGTTATAATTAATACAACACACCAGTGTTATAATTAATACAACACACCAATGTTATAATTAATACAACATACCAATGTTATAATTAATACAACACACCAGTGTTATAATTAATACAACACATTGATGTTATAATTGATACAACACATTAATGTTTTAATTAATACAACACACATATGTTATAATTAATACAACACATCGATAATTTTTTATACTATTAACTATTCCCGAAAAAAAAAATCAAAAACACATCCAAGAAATCACCACCGTTCGACCCGTGCATACTGTTGAAAGTGCAACCAAGTACTTAAAAGGTACTGAACCATAAAATACTGAACGAACAGCTGCGGTGAAGGAACGTACGGTGTACAGTGCTTAGTGTACTAATTGGCAGTAATTACTACATCCGCTCCAGAACTACTGTCTGTACAAATAGTTGGACCGAACAATCCCCCATTATGCTACCGTTACGTTAAAAGCATGCTTTGAAATGATATATATAGATACAAATTACTTACAACTAAGACTTATATTATCAGTATTTAAATCATCGTACCGTAAGGTTATCCCCTGTATCTCGACTAGTGCATCATCTTCAGCAATGGCGGAGAACACAACAGGGGCTTACGGCTATCTGTATAAAACTCACAGTAGCTACCTACCAGGCTAGGTACTGATGCTAGAGGTTGGGCTTTATCACGTTCCCTCACGACACCCCGGAATTACTCCAGATATCTTTACATTACTTCGCGTATGATCGATGTAAAGACGACACGATATTTAGTAAAATACACACGAGTCACGTGACAATTATTATTGTGTTGCTGCTGCTGCTGCTGCTGCTGGAGATGGGAGCTAACTCTGTATGATTTATGGAAAATCAATGTCAGACGTTGTGTTCCGACGACGGTGTAGAGTGGAAGCGTCAACAGAACCTGTCGTTACTCACAGCCGAATAAGACGAGAAATGTGCGCTGCATGTTCTATGACACCTCAAAGTATCAATTCTGTTCGTCAACACTTGTCCTCAATACATTTTGATGAAGTCCGTTTCAATTAGGAAATTTGTTCAAAAGAATTTTACATGTATTTTTCCCATACCTTAACTCCGCTAAACCTTAGATGTGTTTTAATGATAAAGAGCTATTTCGATAAGACCTAAAATATCGGGAGACATGCAAAGCGTTTTGAAATGTGTGTAAAACAAACCCATAAACTTCATCATTCTGTAAAGTCTAAGTGATTTTCTTGTAAATCTTTAATTAGCAAGTAATTAATCTAACTAGACGATGTTTGAAGGCTATATCCGAAGGAACTCGTATACTGGTAGTCTCCTAACGGTGGTGTTATAGATACAATTAGGAAATGTTATATCAGAGAGGGTTCGCCGTAGTACGTACAGTTAATCATTATCATTAAGCTTACCTGTGTCCAGGTAAGAGGTACTAATTGTTATACACCCCAGGGCAGTTAACTTTCACACCTCGGCAGCAGGCCTTTAATCCTCCGCTCCCCATCCGTCTTATCAGAAATTACATGAATTATCCATTTCCAAATTTTCTTATTTCTACATTATTTTCATTATGAGACATTTAGGCCTCAGATTCTCAGAAAGCTTGAGGCTTATGGTCTGAGCTCTGGCTCAGTAGACCTGGTCTCTAGCTATTTGAGTGACAGAATTCAGCAGGTTAGGCTGGGTTCCAAATGCGGTGACTGGATGAAAGTGCTGAAAGGTGTCTCTCAATGCCCAATCATGGGCCCTTTACTTTTCAATATTTTCATTAATGATATGTTTTTATATGTCAAGTCATCCAACTTATATAACTACGCTGATAATAACAACATCAGTAACTCTAGCAAAGATCCCCTCACTCTAAAACAAGCTGTTGAAACAGACTGTTCAAACTTGGTTAAATGGTTTTACAAGAACCAAATGAGCGGGCAAATCCTGAAAAATTTCAGGCTCTATGTGTAGGTAAAAAATCAATGGAGGTATTTTCAGATTTCAAAATAGATAATGTAACCATTTTACCTGAGAAAACTGTAAAATTGCTTGGAGTTTATTTTGATTCACTTTTAAATTTTGACTTTCATGTCTCGGAGCTATGTATAAAGGCCTCCAGACAATTGAATGTTCTGAAAAGAATTGGAACTTACTTAAATAAACAGGGCAGAAAAGTTATATATAATTCTTTTATACTTTCAAATTTCTAATTCTGCCCATTAGTCTGGCATTTTACAAGTATGAAAAGTGTGCGAAAGATGGAAAAGATCCATAAGCGTGCTCTAAGATTTGTTGAAAGTGATTATGAGTCGTCTTTTATTCAGCTTTTAACAAACAGTAAAAATACTCTTTTACACATCAAGAGACTTAAAGACATGGGCTGTGAAGTTTACAAAATTTTATACAAATTGTCCCCTGAATACATTCAAGATCTGGTGAAATTTAAAGAGTCTATTTATAATTTTAGGAAGGACTACACAGTCACTGTGCCAAATGTAAAGTCTACCAAGTATGGACAGAAATCGTTTAGTTTAAGAGGCAGCACAGCCTTCCGAATGAATTACGGAAGTGTGAATACTACCCAGAATTCAGGAGGCTGATCCACACCTGGGATGGCCCGATATGTTCCTGTTCTATCTGTGCCAAAATGAAACCTTGATCTGCTTTCTGTGTGTGTTTGTCATTTGGTCTATGTTGCCAATGTTTATTTCTTACTGTTTGTTTCTATATATTTTTATGGACTCTGGTTTGTGGGGACTATACTGGCCCAACTTACCAGACCTCTGGGCCATTTTAATTTATAACCAATAGTGCTTTCATAACTTAAATATGCTGTGTCTTTATGTACATTTTAATCAATGGAAATCCCGTAATTAACATCTCGAATTACTAATCTGTGCATGTTTTATGTCCATACACGTATGTTTCACATTTTTTTCTTTTATATTGATATGTTTTGTCGTAATAATAGCTCCCCTGAGCTAATGTTGACTTTGTTTATCATATACGACACAAAATAAAGCTTATTGTATTGTATTGTATTGTAAAATTATGAAGACATTTTGCCCAGGCACACATTACATCAGTGAAAGGGGAATCTCATACAAAGATAATTCTAAGAAATCAAAATGACGAATAATAAAAAAATTATTGGTCAGACGGAAAATCATTGGTCAGACGGAAAATTATTGAGACTTTTAGTACCACGGATTTACAAATTACTTTCTTCAATAAAGGGTGATATTTCAGTTGTGAATAGCTCAAACATTTTTAAAAAACGGGGCAAAGTCACAACTGGCCGGGTTGCGGGATGAGTGCAATGTTATATGGTATTTATAAGACAGTTAGATGTGATTCATTTGTTGAGTATGAAGAAAAAACATCCGGAATGAATCCATAATACAAGGGCCACATCTTCAACTTATATATCAACATCCTACAAAGTTTCAAGCTTCTACGTCAATAACTCTAGGAGGAGTTGATTCTACAAAACTGGTACCCCTTTTCCCTGCCAATCTGCGGAAAATGACTAAGTTACAAAGCGCGGAAAATCCAGAAAAATGTCTGGAATGAATCCATAATTTGAGGTGCACATCTTTAACATATATATAAACATCCTACAACGTTTCAAGCTTCTACGTCAAAAACTCTATTCAATTCAATTTAATTTTATTCTCTTTCACAAAATAAAGTGTACAGAGAAACATATTTACAATAATATTTACAAACAGATTAGTGTTCCAAGTCAAGATCTAATATTTTTTTAATAATGCTGTTAATATGACACAAGTGATGTCTATTGTCTAGTAAAGTAGGCTAGTACATTAGGGAGGAAAAATAGTGGTATTAATCATTCTTATAAAAGTACACAGTTTCTTTAATGTTTTAACATTAGTAATATTCATTAATTTATTAAACTTGATAGCGTTAGGCCTGAACCAGAAGTATTTATCAATATATAAAACTCTGTTATTAAAGAAAAAAGGACATTTGAGTAGGTAATAAAATTCATCACCAATATCCCCTAGATCGCAATATTTCCTTTCTTCATACTCAATACCGTGCCATCTCCCGGTTACAACAATATACTTATGGTTAGTAGTACGAAATTTACAAAGAGTAATTCTCTCACTGTTCCATTTTTGTAAATATTGGTCAACAAGTCTTTATTTCACAGTGTTTTTTAACCACTTAGGATTAAATGTTAATGGATATTGAGAGTTCTATATAAAGGTAAAACCACATCCATTCAAAATACGCTCAACAAAACTTATATGTTCAACACGTTTGTTTTCAATAGTGTAATTATAGTATCCAAGTTTATACACAATAAAACCCAGTTTTGTTTCTTTACATTTGAATAACTGTGATCAGTATGATATTATTCTAGTTTTTACTGATAATTCTAGGGGATATGTACCTAATTCCCCGTATGCCATGTAATTAGGAGTACTATTTTTCACACCAAGCAATAGTTTACAAAATTTTTAGCGAACACGTTCAATTATATTAAGGTTTGTAAATCCCCGTACTTCACAACCGTACAACAATATCGGTTTCACAATTTTTGAAAATCAATCATATACATAACTCACGGATAGATTATATAATCTTCCTTTCTTGATAACATCATAAATTGCGATTGTAGATTTTTTGCGCTGTATTTTTTTGCTTCATTGAAAGTACCAGAACGATTAAATATCGTACCCAAATAGCCAAAGCTGTTTACCATCTCTAACTCTTCATTATTACAATAAAACTTGTTTCTTTTACTCTTCCGTCCATTATTGAAAACCATGGACTTCGTTTTACTAATATTTACTTTTAATTTCCAGTTTACAATATTCATTAAAAACATTTAATTGTAACTGCAAATCATCTGGACAACTAGAGAAAAGTAAAGTATCATCGGCATATAGTAAGATAAACAATTTTATATAAATTTGTCACTCAATTTCCAGTTTGTCACTAAGACAAGTTACCCCAGTTTGTCACTAAGACAAGTTAACCCCTGTATATTATTTTGAGCCACGTGTTCTAAATCGTTCAGATAAAGACTAAATAAAAATGGAGATAGATTTTCACCGTGTCTCAAACCATTTTCACAAGGGAGATAACTTGAAAATTCACCATTAAAAGAAATATTAGACTTAGTGCCTTGGTACATATTATAAATAATTTTAAAACATTTTCCTTGTAATTCCATTAATTAACATTTTATTCCATAATCCAGTACGCCAAATTTTATCGAAAGCTTTTTCGAAATAGATAAACACACAGTATAATTCACTTTTCAACAGCTTCGTTAAATTTATCGAAGAGGTAAGTATGAAAATGTTATGAAGAGTTCAATCATTTTTACGGAATCCAGCCTGATTTTCTTTGATCAAACTAATGTCTTCAGAATCTATTATTCATTATACTAGTGAATAATTTTCCAAAACAACTAACAATTGTAATAGGCCTATAGTTTCTAGCTTCCAATTGTGAACCTTTATTTTTATAACTTGGAACAATAGATCCAGTAAGCCAGTTGGAGGGAAACTTTCCACTATTAAATATAATATTAAAAATTTTAACATATAGATTGGCCATTTTTGTTGGTGATTGCTAAATATATTCATTAAGAATTTTATCAGGTGAACATGCCTTGTTATTTTTCAACGAATAACAGCTTTTAAAACTTCATCCTTTGAAATTTCATAATTTAAAACATCATTTATAGGGTAAACATTATCAGGGGGTACAATAATAGCA